ATAAATTACGGGCGATCTAAGGTCGGGAAGGGGGAGGGGGTGAGTTTTTAAGGGTAAAAAATGGTTAATCTCGATTTCCGGTAAAACTGCAAGTCCTATGAAAAAAGTTAAATGGCAAAGTTGTAGGTAATAAAAAGATCTACAACTTTTGTATCGACACTTTTTTCACATAACCTCAAAATTTATGTGAAAAATGCGAATAACCAAGTTTTTGGTTTTTGATTTTTATTTTTTGCAAAAAAAAATTATTTTTTCACGAAATTTGGTGAAAACTTACCTTTGTATGTCCCAAACATACAGTAATTTTTTTGATTTAAAATATTCATTTTTTCACCTTATTTTGACTTATCGAAAAGCACCCTTATTTTCACTCGAAAATTCTCACGTCAAAATATCTGCTTTTTTAAAAAAGTTGGGGTGTTTTTTGTTTCTTGAAATCTCTTCTTTCTGATGGTATAAAAAAAATATACACTACTATGGTAAATGTTCTCAGAAACAGCAAATTAATAATGAAAAACACTCCAATCCGAAAAATTGATTTGAATCATTATGTATTATTTTGAACTATTTATTAAAATTTACACTTTCATTACTCGAAAAACGTAAGATTTCATGTTATATTGATAAACAGAAAAATTACAAATCCATAAAACATGCAAAAATAGTTGTTGTAAGTAGGTATTAAAAGTAGGATTTTCGGATTCGAGTTTTTTTCATTATTAATTTGCATTTTCTGAGAACATTTAAGTATCATAGTAGTGTATATTTTTTTTTTATACCATCAGAAAATAGAGATTTCAACAAACAAAAAACACCCCAACTTTTTTAAAAAAGCAGATATTTTGACGTGTGAATTAGGGTGCTTTTTGGATATTAAGTCAAAATAAGGTGAAAAAATGAATATTTTAAATCAAAAAAATTACTGTATGTTTGGGACATACAAAGGTAAGTTTTCACTAAATTTCGTGAAAAAATAATTTTTTTTGCAAAAAATAAAAATCAAAAACCAAAAACTCGGTTATTCGCATTTTTCACATACATTTTGAGGTTATGTGAAAAAAGTGTCGATACAAAAGTTGTAGATCTTTTTATTACCTACAATTTTGCCATTTAACTTTTTTTCATAGGACTTGCAGTTTTACCGGAAATCGAGATTAACCATTTTTTACCCTTAAAAACTCACCCCCTCCCCCTTCCCGACCTCAAATCGCCCGTAATTTATTTTTCCTTTCATTTTTGTTATATTCTCTACCTTTTCTAATGGGTTTCATCCTACTATATTTTTTTTTCACTTTTCACCATTTTTAAAATTATCGACCCTGGTCTATAACTGTCCTATCATAGATTGTAATACCTCTTAAATGCACTCAATGGTTCTGCTAGATACCCATGACAAAGAAATTTAAGATATAATCCTGGGATTACGATTGGATTGTGCAAAGGGGTGGGATGGTTTATCTAATCTATTGATAAAAGAGTCAAGGCATGTTTTAATTTCAGTATTGACTCAACTTTTTAACCTTTGTTTCTCTACTGGTACTTTCCCTGCTGTGTATAAAAACGCAATAGTCTATCCCATTTTTAAGAGCGGAGACAGATACAGTGTTATCAATTATAGACCAATTTCTATTTTAAAAACTTTGTCAAAAATCTTTGAAAAAATTTTTAATAGTAGACTAACTGCTTGAATTCTAAAAACTTATTGGCTCCAAATCAATATGGTTTCAGGCCAGGAAAGTCAACAGATGATGCTGTTTTGGAGCTCACTAGTACAGTATTGAATAATATTAATAATAAATTAAATTCTTTGTGTGTTTTCCTAGATATTTCTTAAACTTTTGACACTGTGTCTGTTAAATGGGCGTAGACGTTTGTAGAATACCACAAAGTAGCTTCCTTGGACCTACCCTGTTTCTAATATATATGAATGACTTGTGTCAATTAAATCTGCCAAATTGCAAATTATTGAGAGATTGAGGCGTTTGAATTTGTGCATGTTATAGTTTTTTTCCGTAAACTAGCTGCATTAGAACAATCAGTACAAAAAAGGAAAATAGTATTCACAAATATTCTACATTAACTTACAAAAGGAAAAATAAATCTACTGTTTACTTCTATTGGAAATAGTCAAAATCTTTTCTAAGGAGGTAAACGAGGCGCTCAAAAAATACATATATAGTAATTGAAGACTCAAATGGCGAGATAACATTGTCTGCGATATACATCCCTCCTAAACACAACATGAAAGCCAAGGAATATTGCACCTTTTTCAAAACTCTGGGACAACGGTTTATTGCTGGGGGCGATTATAACGCAAAGCATACTGAATGGGGATCACGTCTAACTACTCCTAAAGGACGACAGTTACTTCAAGCTATAAGAGTCCTACAACTAAATGTCACCTCTACGGGAGAACCAACATACTGGCCTACCGATGTATGTAAAAGATCTTATTGATTTTTTCATAACCAAGGGACTTCCCAAAACATCAATGAAGTGTAACTCTTGCCTTGAAATGACTTCAGATCACTCGTCAGTAATCTTATTATTAAGCAGTGACGTTATAAATGTCGACAAGTCATGCAGGCTGCACACCAAAAAAACAAACTAGTCATTATTCCGCGACATTGTTGAACAAACACTAGACTACAATGTTCCACTTAAAACAGACGAGGACATTGTTCGGGCGGTGGAGTATTTCAATAAGACCATACAGGTAGCCGCATGGGATTCAACCCCATCCCAGATTGGAAAAGATAAAAAAAGTTACTCCTATCCCAAATATATCATGGAATTGGTAAATTCAAAGCGCAAAGCCAGAAAGCTTTGGCATGAAACACATTATCCTGCACACAAAACCATATACAACAAAATTGCAAACAAACTAAAGAAAGCTCTAAAAATCAACAACAATACAGTAATGGAGAACTATCTTAAAAATCTTGATGCAACCCAGGCCACCGAATACTCTCTCTGGAAAGCTACGAAAAAATTGAAACAACCAATAACACATCGATCACCTATCCTGAAAGCAGATGGTAGTTGGGCAAAAAATGATGAGCAAAAGGCCAACACATTCGCTAAACATCTATCCGAAGTATTTACTCCTAACATCGATTATGGATGCAAGGCAAGTTTAGTTAAATCTGAACTCGAAAAACCACATGAACTAGATCCACCCCTCAAAAAATTTAGCAAACAAGATTAGAGGCCATTAAAAAAATCGACATTCACAAAGCACCAGGGTATGATCTTATTACATCCAAAACGCTGCGAGAGCTACCAGACGTAGGCATTACATTTCTGACTTATGTCTACAACGCATGCCTTTGGAGAAATTTTGTTCCACCACAGTGGAAGGTTGCAGAAGTCATCATAATTCCTAAGCCCGGAAAAGACCCTACTGACGTCAAATCATACCGTCCGATCAGTCTTCTCTCAGTTCCGTCTAAAGTCTTAGAAATTCTAGTACTGAAACGCCTTACAACAGATAACAAAGCTAACAAGCTTATCCCGTATCACCAGTTCGGTTTTAGTAAAGGTCATGGCACAATAGAACATGTACATAGGATAGTAGAAAAAAACAATGACACTTTTGAACGAAAACTGACCTGCTCTGCTGCTTTCTTAGATATCTCACAAGCCTTCGATCGTGTCTGGCACGATGGACTCTTGTATAAAGTCCTCAAAAACTTACCCATTAACTTCTATTTGTTTATAAAGTCATATCTCAGTGACAGACACTTCTATGTTAAATATGGCGACTTTAATACAGGCCTACACAAAATAAGAGCAGGTGTTCCACGGGGCAGCGTAATGGGTCCAATACTGTACCTTATATACACCTTGGACTTACCAAATAGACAAGATATAATGACAGGAACATTTGCTGATGATACTGCCATACTTGCTGTTGATAAAACACCTGAGGAAGCTTCGGCAAAATTGCAACAAAATCTGAATGATATCTCAGATTGGCTGAAAGACGGCGCATAGAGGCAAATGAAACGAAATCGGTTCATGTCACTTTTACTTTAAGGAAAGATACATGCCCAGAAGTCGAATTAAACCAAATTAAGATACCCCAAGCAGATGAAGTTCGATACCTAGGAATCTACTTGGATAGACGTTTAACCTGGAAGAAACATATATCTACTAAAAGGAAAGCACTTGACTTACAGTTTAGAAAGCTTTATTGGCTCATGGGAAGAAAATCTCAAGTTTCTCTGGAAAATAAACTCCTTCTGTACAAGTGTATACTAAAACCAGTCTGGACTTATGGCCTACAATTATGGGGCACAGCCTCTGTATCCAACATAGAGATACTTCAACGTTTTCAATCAAAAGCCCTACGAATGATAACTGGAGCACCATGGTATATGACAAATAATCACTTGCACCGTGATCTAAAAATCAAACCTGTTAGAGAAGAAATAAAGGACTCTTTACTTTCCTATTCCAAAAGAATGCAAAATCATCCTAACCCACTAGCAAGAACTTTGATGGAAAAGCAACCAAACAATACATTTAAGAGACTAAAGAGACGTGCTCCTCAAGATCTTCTCTAACACAAACACAGAAAAGTCAAAATAGATGGGCATATCATTGGATCATGTACCATGCACGACATTTTTATTCCAAATTCATAAAATCCAGCTTAATGTCGACAAGACAGATCGCAGGAAAAAAAGGAGACTTAAAAAAAAATACGACTTTTTGCAAAAAATGTGAAAGGGCTCTTAAGAAGTCCGCGTGGCTTACGAGCGCTTACGGTTTACTATCCGCTAAAAAACCCTGCGAATACCCTCTACGCTGTTAAGTGCGGAACTGCAAGGTCCCCGTTGATGGACTTCACTATGTCTCCTCACCCAGTGTACGTAGCCTATATGTAACAGGACTTATAATTGGCAAGAAATTAAAACAGCGAATGCTGTTTACTCTTACTGATTATGATGTACATTTATCTGAAAAGCTCAGTATAAGGGGCACTAAATACTGACCTCTCTCTGTGGCCCTTTATATCTTTGACTTTAAGTTCAAGTTCCTTTGCACGTGCCGCCGTCTCTTTCTGGGTGACTTTGTCTCTTTCTACAGCTGCTTCCAACTCTTGAACCTGATGAAGAAATCAAGAACTGAAATTCTGCAAACATTTTAACTAACAAAAAGGTAAACTTAGGTTAAAACATCATAAATAGTATTATGTGATTATTGAAAATGTTATTAAGGTAATCTGAAAATACAATCTGAAAACACATACCAAAAATATATCTATAATTACTTCACCCGCGACTTCATCTGCGTGGACGTATTGCTTTTTCATAGAAACATTCTCCTTCCTTAACATCCTTTTTACGGGTGACTTTTGGGTTAAAAATATGCTATGCCCTTTTCCGGGACTCGGAATATCTATATACCAAATTTCATCTCAATCGATTCAGGGGTTTTCGCGTTAAGAGGTAACAGAAACACTTTCGCACTTATAAGTATTGGGTGCCCGGGACTTCGTCTGCGTGAAGAAAATAAATTCTATACAAGCTTCAATCACCTTTTAACTCCATTAAAGTATGATTTCAATTACATTCAATTTCATCGCCGAATACAACCGGCTTAGGCGTAAATACCGCGCCGATCTTTCAGAAATAAAACCGTCTAAAAGAATAAATAAAGAACGCGAATGGGCAATACGAAAAACTGTTGCTACTGTTCAAGAATCAGAACCGGAAAAAAAGAAAAGAAAGATATGTAACAATAAAAAGACTACTCCTAAAAAGAAAAAAATGTGTCAGATAAGAAAATCTAATAAAATAAATCACTATGCCCACGTTTCTACAAAAAGAAGTGAAATCCCACCAAAAACATTCTGTGAAAAACTAGCCAAGTCTCGATGGAGCTGCTTGTTTATCTCTAAAAAGTAATGAAATCAAGACAAAGTCGTGCCAAGTCTAAGGTTCCTTACTGCGATTTCTTTATTATTATAGTTAATTTTGTGTGACTTGGCCGTTGAAGGGTACACAAGGGTACAAAACCAAGTGCTGCATGACACTATTGCACCGATGCATTCATAGGTGCAACATTACGTGTAAACGCAACTTTATCAAGCCTACAATTGACTGGTCAATCAACGTTTTCCAAGTGGCAATTTTCCATTGTCAATGGGTAGCGGTTCTGGCGACAGATTGGTGCAATTGTGTCATGTAGCACCTGGTTTTGTACCCTTGTCAACGGCCAAGTCACACAACATTAACTACAATAATAAAGAAATCACAGTAAGGAACCGTAGAGTTGATACGACTTTCTCTAGATTTCATTAATTTTAGAGATAAACAAGCAGCTCCATCGAGACTTGGCTAGATTTTTACAGAATGTTTTTGGTGGGATTTTCTTTACTGTCGCCATTATTACTTACTTGTGCCCGTAATGCTTCTATTTCGTTGTGCGCCTGCGCATGCGTCGTGGTAGCAAGTCTTGCCCGCGCCACACCTAACTCATGGGTCACCATTTCCAACCTAAATACATAATAATTATTTTGGATTAATACATACAGGAATACATCGAGGAGCTCGATGACGCAGATGTTTAGCGCGTTCGGCTGCGATCGTTGAAGTTAAGCAACTTTCGCAGTGGTCGGTCATTGAATGGGTGACCAAAAATCTTCTATCTCAAGTTCCTCCGTCGGAAGGCACGTGAAGTCGTTGGTCCCGGCTGCATCTGCAGTCGTCAGCACTCGTCAATCCGCACTGGGCCCAAGTGGTGGGTCATGGCCCTATCTCTCTATTCCATCCATAAGGAAGGCCTGTGCCACAGCAGTGGGGACATTATTAAGCTGATGATGACATATAGCATCATATGATGCCAGCACTTCACATGGCTAATCGAATTTGTTGTGTGTAATTTTAACAGCAGGCTGTCTTTATCATACTCCATAGGGAGTGAAAAGGAGAAACTGTTGTCAAGTTTACAAATAGCAAATACGAATAGTCATGTGAAGAGCGGGCGTGATAATATTGATAAATAACAAAAATATTTAGTAACATAATGAGCTTGTACTTTAGAATCTAAATAACGTGTAAGTTTTTAAGGGAAAAAATATTTGTATACATAACACAAACACCAGCATTCGAATTCAGGAACTCGTAGCAGAAGGCAAGAGCACTGCCATTGTATTAAGCAGACGTCCTATTTGCTCGCAATACTTTTTTGAGGATATCAAAGAATAATAACTAAACCTCTGACCCCGTAGCATGAGCACCACGAAATGATAAATGTATCACACTTATATCACGTCTGATTGCATAGTACTTTGACAACATTGAGCTTGATAAAAACGTGATACACACCATCTTTGTGCTCATTCTAAATTATATACACTGAACTGCAAAGAAACCGGGTCAGCCGCTAGTACAGTAGAACTCTGATTCGATTTTCTCAAAAAATATATAACTTACAACTATCAAAGTTATACATACAGAAAGTGTGTTTCATAATTATTAAAATGAGTAAAATTTTATTCTAAAGTCCTGTCAACTTACTGTGTAATCAAGCAAGAAAAAAAATGCTGACGATTTGCTTATTTTTGAATAAAGTTGCGTTTAACGATTTTTTTTATAAACTGAAGATAGTCTGGTACTTCTTATAATCTCTTTAGTTTTTATCCATAGCTTTCTCAGATGTTATTTGCTGCGTTTTTTACTGATGATAACACAATCGGAAAACTCCTAATAAAACCATAAAAAAATAAATCTCATCATGAAACGCAGTTTCTGTATAACTTTAATAGTTATAAGTTTTATACTCTAGGAGAAAACCAAATCAGAGTTCCGTGGTAGCAAATGACCCGAATTATTTGCTGTCCAGTGTATTATTCCAGCATGCCGTATTTATTTACCTTTGCTGCGTAGTGGCATATTGTTCAGCGGCGTGCTGCATAGCAGAGAGTTCTGAATTACACTGTGAGAACTGAGCCTCTGCATCATGTAGCGCTCTCTCCGCGTCTTTCAGTTCTTGCAACTGAACTAGTACCGAACCACCCTGCGGAATTCACATTTTTAAGGTTTTTACCAAACAAATTACCACAGCTAGCCTGATTTAATAAATTCAACCTTGAATTGATGTAAGTCTATCTGTAGCAAAAATATAGGTTGCAATAATAATATATTACGCCCACGAAAGTTATTAGTAGTTATTAATATTAAATGTTAGCCTATAAACTGCGTAAAACCTTTTTAATCAATATAACATTTATATTGTCTAATTAGCGTCAATCTTAAAATGCTAGGTGGGCCGGTAGATTTGTCCGGAAGTATAATAACGGAAGTAAAAAAAACAAAGCGCTAAAGTCATGCATCTGCGATGTATTTTCATGTAGAAAATCTTAAGGTTTAAACCTTAAGATACTCATTTTCAGCGGCAAAATATCACCAATAATATATTTACGATGATGATTCTTACCTTAGCTCTGGCGCCTCCAGACAAAGTACCAGCCGGGTCGCATACATCTCCGTCTAAAGTCACGCATCTTCGTCGCACGTCTGGATGGAAAGTGACTTTTCTAGCGGTCTCCAAGTCTCGACAGACCAAAGTGCCACCGAACACCCACGCCATTGCCGGACGTAAGTGCGGCTCGAATGAGATGAGATCTAACGCTAGTTGAACGTTGTCTGGACCACCACCCTAATGGATTAAATAACTTTTATTGATATTTATGCAAAAAATAAATGCTGTTATTATTTATCAATGAGGGTTTTCTGGTATGACCGGCGCCAGATGGCAGGACTGAGACGAAATATGCTGTGTCTACTCAACCGTCAAATTCATAGAGTTATAAGAATAGAGTAGGGGAGATATAGACTCTACTACAAGTGGAAGTGTCCCACTAATAGAAAGAGAACGAAGATGTGAGACCGCTAGCTTACACTCTCTAATCGCGCATGCGCATTGGCAACCGTAAGCATCTTACTATTTCGATGTGATCCATTGGATGCCATGCGTCACAAGAGAGAGAGATAGCTAGCGGTCTTTCATCTCCTTTTTCTTGGTACTAGGACACTTTTAGAGCCGCCTTCCCCACTCTATTCTTATACCTATATGGTCAAATTACATATGTTGTCATAGTCTATGGATCAATTTAAATGCTCGTTACATTGATTCGCACCAAAAACTTCATAAAAAAGAACTCATGTCACAATGGTGCCAACTGGTGGCGTAAAATTTCCTAAGCACTCTCTCATTTGTTATCAAATAGAAGAATATATTTACTGGTAACAGGTCACTTTTCTCTAAAACTCAGAATTTACGAAATATGAAGTTAATCATATTTTGTACTTTGCCACAGTGAAATATTTATTATTTCTTTCGCTAGTTACTAGTTCACTTCCATAAGTGAGCTTGCCAACTGATACTATCTATCTTGCCCTAGAAAATGAAGTGATGGAATGAAATGAAAATAATGTTTATTCAATTTGACTTACTAAAAGCTTTTTTGAACCGTCCTTATATATTTTTTTTTCTACCACCTGTTCAGGATATCTTTTAGCTGACAAGAAGAACAGGCGAAAGAAACTTTTCAGCTTTTTATGAAGTCGCGACATTTATATAAAAATATCTCGTTACCAAAACAATTATTATGATTACATTCTTTATGTGTTACACTAATCAGGAATATTAAATATTACATTGTGATAAATAACTTTAATAAGCAAAGGGTGGGAATACATGATTATTCCTAGACATTTCGATCAACAATCTTGGACTTGATAGTGCATTAGTGTATTTCTTTTATATAATAATATTTATTTGTAAAAGAAAATATATGGTAATATTCTTATAAATATGTTAAAACTAAGGCCATTATTTCACACAAATTACATATAGACATCCATAGCCAAACTAGGAAGTTTATCCTGTATTTAGACTTCAGCGCCCGTCCTCAATTTTAATTGTAATATGGCCATTGTTAATCCTTTGCTAATTACTGTATTTTTTTGCGCGTATTTTATTTTAAATTACACGAAACAGCTGAAACGGGTCTTAAGTAGCCACTATACTCACTATTTGCTGCGCTCTTCGTACAGTTGAAGCATCGATTACGTGTCCAGAGATCTTGTTTAGAGGTATGATTGTAGTACGCGTTTGGAGATTTCCGCGTTGCAATAAAAGCTTGCTTGTTGCATCCGTATCCACTACTACATTGTACAGCTGTAGGCAAAAAAATATTTCTTTGATCATCTTATATCCTTAATATAATAAATACGAAAATATGGCTGTCTGTCTGCAAAACCACAGACAAATAAACTTGCGCAGTACTTGTATAAAAAATTTGCTACTGCGCAGGCTTCCTTGTCTATAGGCGATGTCCAAGAAGATTGCCCGGGTGTATACCTCTTCACGCTTAAACCGCTGAACCGATTTAGATTAAATTTAGTATAGACATATTTTAAGTTCCAGGGACGGACATAGAATGGCTTTTATGCTAGAAATCACCCTTAAAGGGGGTGAAAGTTTGTATGGGAAACCAGTATTTCCACGCAGGCAAAGTCGCGGGCTCCCACTAGTACGTATATAAACCTTACTGTGTTCGTCCTGAATAAACTCCGTTATAGTATATATTGTGAAGCTTAGAAATATTATCTATATTATAAATAACCAAAATCAGAACATACCCTGCCGCCAGCGGCAGTTTCCAACGCAGTGCAATACATCGGATCACACACATCAATCAACCTACAAATGGTACCTAAAACAAGAAAAAATAAATTGACGATTGTTTGTTTCATGCTTATCTAAAAATCTGCGTGAAATTGAAAAAGCCTGTTTGAATTACAAACTAGTGGCATTAGTTTAGATACTTACCAGACACTCTTCTGCTATCGAAATTGGGCTGCGGCGGTGAGTACTTAAAGTCGCATCGTTGTAACCTCGCCGATAAGTTGTCGACTGTATCTCGCTTGGAACGTATCACTGATTGCAGGGAACGCACACTTTCTTTAAGATGACTATTCCGTTCTTCGCTAAAATTCATATGGTTGAGCTCCTCCTGTTAAAAAAAATATGAAAAATGGTGTTAGCAGAACTGTTGAGTATGTAAGCTCTCTAATAAAAATCGGTAAAACATGGTTCCAAACTCCTACAGGTAAACTTGAATACTGACGCGACACGCACACTGACATGACAATATACATTGGCAAATCACATACGCAAATGAATTCGGCTATTTATTTATTCAGAGCCAATCCCATGATCGGCGTGATGGCAGGTTTTCGCCCCGCCCACTTGATCACAGTTTTTGTACAACCAATTGTTAGTGCAGTTCGTATTCCATTATTACTAATTCGTTGTTTCATTGCTGCTAAAGTAAATAACTCATTCGTATTGCATAATTCTGCTCGATAAATTACAAACTACTTCTACAGGTCTTGAATAGAGACATCTGCTAGATAAAGCCATTTCAGCAACGTTTATTTTTCTTACCCTTCTACAATGATTCTAATCGATGATGCGCATGCGTTTTTATTTGGACCATATATCTAAGCTGAATATTTTGATAATTTAACTAAGTCTACACAACTACACAACAAACTAACCTGCAGTTTTTGCACTTGTTTCTCGAGCGCTCGCAACATTTCTTGACTTCGCAACACGTGAGGGATTTTGCGCGGACGATGTCTACCTCCTTCTACAATGCTTCCAGAGGACGTAAGTCCCCTTCATACTATTATATTCTACACAAACTGAGCTGAAGTTTCTGCACTTGTTTCTCGTGTGCTCGCAACCTTTCATGATCCCTCGCATGTTGCGCGAATGTCGCCGCGTCTTTCTGCAATGATTCCAGGCGACGCAAATCCCCTTCTTACTATTTTATTCTACACCAACTGACCTGAAGTTTCTGCACTTGTTTCTCGTGCACTCGCAACCTTTCTTGATCCCTCGCATGTTGCGCGAACGATGTCGCCGCGTCCTTCTGCAATGATTCCAGGCGACGCAAGTCCCCTTCTTACTATTTAATTCTACACAAACTGACCTGAAGTATTGCACTTGTTTCTCATGCGCTCGCAAAGTTTCTTGATCCCTCGCATGTTGCGCGAACGATGTCGCCGCGTTCTTTTGCTATGATTCCAGGCGACGCAAATCCCCTTCTTACTATTTTATTCTACACCAACTAACCTGAAGTTTCTGCACTTGTTTCTCGTGCACTCGCAACGTTTCTTGGTCCTTCGCGTGTTGCGCAGAAGAAGTGGCCGCCTCCTTCTGCAATGATTCCAGACGACGTTGCGCGTGCGTCTTCTCCATACTGCTTTGTGCTATACGCGTAGCCGCTTCTGATGCGGCTGCTTTGGCAGCTATACAACAATTTAATGTGACATGAAATAATTGACTGAATTTGTTTTTTTCTGTGTTTATGCATGCAAACGCGCTAGCAGTCCACCTCTACTTTTGGCACGAACCAATATCGAATTCGAATGGTTAAATTCGATCACAATACGAGTCCAATGTCAAAAAGTTTTGTATGGCAGATTATAAACTCTCGTTCTGTTCGTCGAAACTTCTATACATTTGAAGCATATCGTGATCAAATTCAACTATTCGAATTTGGATATAGGTTCACGCTAAGGGGACTGATGGTAAGTGGTCACTGTCGCCCACAGACACTTGCAGAACCGACAGTACCACTCATGCGTTGCCGGCTCTGAAGGAAAATGTTTATCCGCCTTTTGAAGACCGTCATATATCATTATAAAATCCTGTAATATATGAGTACCAAACACAAATAAATGTGGAAGTGAAAATCACCATAAAAGTTTCGCCTGTGAATGGTACTGATAGGATCGTCGAATCATCATGACCCAGTGCGGATTGGTGGGTGCCAACGACTGCAGATATACAGCAGGGACCAACGGCCTAACGTACTTCCGAAGCACGGAGAAGCCCGAGATAATAAATTTTTGGTAATCCATTTGATCCATTTTGACCGGTCATTACGAAAGTGGCTTAACAGTAGAGCTGATCGTCTTATAGATGACCAAAATCTAGATTTATTCCTCCCTCACACTTAAATATACATAAAATGTATCAACCTGCTAGCCAAGCATGAGTACCGCGATATGATATATAACGCGTTTTTATCACGATCAATTGTCAAATTACTATAGAGTTTGACAGTTAGACGCGATATAAAACGTGATATAGGTGCTCATGCTACGGGGACTGGGCTTTGGTGGATGATGGCTCATCTATACTAATATTATAAAGCTGAAGAGTTTGTTTATTTGTATGTTTGGTCAAACGCGCTAATCCCAGGAACTACTGGTCTGATTTGATTACTTCTTTTTGTGTTGATTAGTACATATATCAAGGAAGGCTATGTAACATAACGCGAAGACTAACAGTAGCGGAGCAAAAATTAAAATATGTTGCAAACACGGGAAAATAATCCCTTTTATGAGTTTCCGTTGTGTGCGCTGCGTAAACGAAAAAAGTTACACATTTGAAGAAATTGGAAAAAGTTCTATAGAAAAAGTACACGACAGCATACACCTATCTTTTAAAGAAGACCCACTATAACCCTTTTCCTAAAATGAATGCAGGACACCTTTACCGTATGATATTTAAAAGGAATAAAACTTGGCTACAGATAATACTTCTATCCAAGTTATTAATACGTCATAAATGTACATATCATACTCTTAATTACCCATGAGCTGGTCTTGCAGTGATTCAGAAGCGCCTTCTAGGCCAGTACTGACGGCCACAAAACGCTGTTGGGCCTCCGCTAACGCCGTCGCCGCGGCCTCACTAGCCGCCTTCAGGCCTTCGCACGAAGACGACTCCTGCATCGTACAATATCAAGATTGGTGTGAATTCTGGCATGATTCTCTAAACCTAAACTTAAATTTGACAACAATGTATCCTTGTCATCATTCTCTATACAGAATGAAAATAATTCTCTAAACCTAAACTTAAATTTGACAACAATGTATCCTTGTCATCATTCTCTATACAGAATGAAAATAAGAGACTGATATTAAATTTGTTTTAAGTTTAGAGAACCATGCCAGAATCGGCAACATTAAATTACCAGACCAATTTGCGACGCCCACTGTTGATCATAAGCCTATATGAAATGGTGTTGATTCACAATTAGTTTAAAGACACATTTTGCTTGTTGAGGGGTGGGAGATTTAGCATAATAATAGTAGTAGTAATTTTTTAAAGATGGGCCGACTATAGTATTTGCCGACTAATCGACCGATCGGTTTTTTAAATTGCCGACTAGTCGGCAATGCCGATCATTCTAATACCTATCTAAATATCCATCTATCGGAATATTTCGTCACTTATCGGCTTGTTTACGCACGACACAAACGTTTTCTAGAAATATACACATATAATTTATGATTACATTTACTTTGTGTGTTGTGTGTTTGTATTTAATTACCTTGTCTAATATTTTGCGTTTGGCAAGCAGTGCGGCTTCATCGTCAGCGAGCGCGCGGTCTAACAAACGCGCCTTCTTGTCGTGAGACGCGACTGATTCCTTTGCAGCCTTGTGAACCGCGCTAGCTGATGCTTCGGTTTTTTCTAAACTTTGCAGTTCAGTCTCCAATTCTTTCAATACACTGCCGCTTTCCTTAAAACAGTTAGGCAAATATAAACATTACTTGTGGAATAATTTTTGATATGCAGTTCAAGTTGCCATCATTGACGTATAAAAACAAGTAGACTCACGAACCCGTTCAAGAAGTGTCAGAAGCAAAATTACGCACACGCGCTATTGTGTGTAATTTTCAACCAGTCGTGATTCGACCGGGCTGCGATTACAATGCCACGCAGTGACAGTGTTCGGTTAAAAAGAGAAGACATAAATTATGCTTACGTTTTGGCAGGGCGACAGGAGGAACATGGTAAATATTTTCACAAACACTCTCGAAACAAAACCGCGAAAATACTAGACACCGAATTTACCATTCTTTATCATGTTTAATGTTATTCTAATATCAGCCTTATGCAGTGCAACGTAAGGGAGAAAGTGCAAAGACATCTGCACTTGTTAACAAATTATGCGTGTTACCTACTTAGGTATAAGTAGGTACTACACACTCGCGGATGCTAGTTAACTCTCAATTTAACGTGTATTTTCTAGAATGCGTCGATTGGCGTATATGTATATATGTAAGCGCGATTACAAAACAAAAATAGAAAACAAAATATAACCATGCTTAACATAACTGTTCTTATTATAAAATATAAACTGATAAAAATTCAAATAAACAAACAAGAACATACATCTGTACATTATATAAAATAGACATTTTGAATAAATTTAATAATAATAATAAATTTGTTTCTTAGGTTTTCACGCACATCACTCATTAAATAAAACTAGTTTTAAATTAAATTAATAATGACGTTTCGTAGCCTTTACAGGCTTCGTCGTCAGAATAAAACTTTTATTTAATTTGTCGAGCTACCTTCGAAAGACTTTTATTGAGCGTTTTTGAACAAAAACGCTCAATAAAGTTTCGTGCATTAACCCGTAAAAACTAGTTTTATTTAATAATAATATGACGCAAGCAAGAACAGGCAATTGTGATTAACATTGTGTTAACTGTGTGGTGAATAAAGTACTGTCAAGCATGAATTGGCATATGATTTCGAATCCGATCCCGACACGTAACATACGTCATGTTGAAATAAAAACTATGCTATCATAGTTTTTTAGTAAATCTTAGTAACTGCATTTGGTTTTCGTTTCCAAAAATAATGTTTGTAGAAAGATTAAGGTGTTTAAGGGGTGAAATGACTTGACTGTCTAAAGATTTCCACCAAACCATGACAGTTATTCCAAGATCAACTACTGACACTAAAATATGGGGTTGCCAATTTGTAGCACCACACAATGAAATTTCAGCTGGCAGTAACCATAAGAGTTACATTGCTGAACGATCAATCTATAGAAGATTTCTACAAACAATTGCCAACTATGTATAGATATATATATGTGTTCCTGTCAAATGGATAGCTTTCACTTTCCCCAATTTACTGTTAGCGATATGAAGTTCACCGGGTCAGCTAGTAGTAAATAATACTAATAAAGCATACTTGATCCAACTTCTTGTTGAGTTCTGCTACTTCTTTATCTAACTCTTTAGATTCTTTCTCATTGCTTTTGATTGTGTCTTTTTTGTTTTTAATTTCATCCTGCACTTCAGTGACTTTAGCCTCTGCTTCTTTGGCACTTTGCTCAGCACTCACATATCTGAAAGTATTAAAATATAAATAAATATTTTTGGTTTGCCAAAAAACGACAATTTTTTATCTCACATTTGAAAAATACTAAGCTAATCAATTCTCTTCTTTTTTTATTTTAACTTTTAAATGCAAGATTTTAACTCAATAACTTTTTATGATTATATGGAGATTCTCAGCATACTGAGATTGTCAGCCTTAGAATACTGATAAACTGCTTGTGCTTTGAGATGATATGACCCTACCAACCATAATACCATATTTCAAACTGCTGTTTTCTAATGGTACTTACCTTCATTTATGGGCACATTGGTAATTTTTGCATTAAAACAAATACTTAACTAGATACCTATATTTAAATTTTACAAGTACTTTTCAGTTAATACCAAAGTCATGAATCTTAAATATATGTACTCACTTCCAAGCCACATAAAGTCTAGTAAGATTCTCCAACTCTCTCACTACTTTTTGATACTCTTGAAATTGAGATCTTTCATCTTGTAGTTTCTGCAGCTTTGGGGCTATGTCTTCTTTTATTATCTGAAAGTAAGGATAATGACTAATGAGCTATCCATAACTGTCAAAAAACCCTATCAATATTGAATACATGAGAAGCAAAACTAGATTTTTGTTTGGTTCAATATTTCTTTGGTAGAATCTCTTCAGATGTTTAGAACAAACAATATGGTGGTTTATTAGAAACCACAAGAGAAACAAATTCAAAATTGATCAACCAGTACCAATATTTATGAGGCTAATAAATAAATAGTTGGAATACACTAAAAATACCATGGACACATACATCATTAAGTTCCCTGAGCTTGGCATCTTTCTTTTCTATAGTTTTCTGTGCAGCCTGCTTTTTAGCTTCATACATTCTTGTGCCAGCTGCTTCTTCCACCATTGATAAAATCTAAAAACAACAATATTAAAATACGAGTTATTTCAAGAAGAGCTGATTGATTTTAAACCTTATAGTATACTACACACAGTCATATAAATACCTGTTTAAAGCACCAAAAGAAAGCTTAGTGCTTTTTAATTATTATATACCAAATTATAATATTATAAATTAGAAAATTACAAATTGTTTTACACAACTAAAGTTCTACAGAAACATACATACCTCTGGGGGTTTCATGTTTAGCACTTTGGTAATGCGGCCCTGCATTATGAGAAAGTGAGGGTTATTTACATTCAGCTGGACAGAACAAAATAAATCGCTGACACGCTTGTTCTGCACATTGATGCCATTAATTAGGTACTTATTCTTGCCTCCCATGACAACCTGTATATGTTACACCAGTAAAATTATAAAAAAAATCAATACATATCACAAAATTTTATTGCATCAGGTATTCAGCAGCAAACTTCTTCTGCATCAACCATAGACAAGGTAGCAGTAATATACAAAAACTTCTACTGCACAAGTTTATTTCTCTGTGTTTTTGCTCAAGAAGTTTGCTGCTGTGCCTACAGTATTGTTAATTTGTAATCTAGTGAAAAAGAATAGAATTCTAAAAATATTATATACTACCTGCCGGGTTACAGTTATTTCATCATGGTTCTCATAGCCAATGGGGCATTGTCTCTTATCACGGTTGTCAAAGGTGATGCTGACCGTGGCTTTCGTAATACCCGCTTGGCCATGTTTATATATCAACTCTTGAAGACTTCCAGCTCTGACCTGTAGATTTATGCCCATGATAATATGGCGGGAATTTCATAACCAAAAACTTTATGATAGAAGCCAAAAAAAAACTTACGTTCGATAGATTGGTGATTCCCAAGACGAAACATATTGAATCCAATATATTAGACTTTCCAGTACCATTTAAACCTGTGATAGCGTTGAATTCGGGGTCGAATCCGGTAACTTCGACTCGATTTCCGTAGGATTTGAAGCCGTCCAACACAATAGACTTTATATACATATTGTCGCTACAGTACCGTTTATTCAATATTATAATACATAACACAGGAGTTAAAATATTGTTACTAAACAAATAGTAAATCGTAAATAATCGGCGTTGTTTAGCGGGAACCGTTGACAATTTTTGACTTTTGGTTTGACAGCAGCTGTCACTGTCAATGTATGTCTTATGACAATAAATTCCGAATCTTATCTATACTATAACTAATCATTAAGCTTATTACAAATTATTATGAAACTGGTTTTCAATATGAAATCTATTCAAGAAATTGATATAAATATCTTTACTTTTCTTTAAAAAACTATACTATGTAGTATTGTTTTTCAGTTAAGTTTGCTTGAATCTGTCTTCCCTTCTCCTCTCCCGACTACATCAAGCGAGTTTCGGACCTAACCAAAACATTATCGATTTTTTTATTTTGCCAATCGTGAGTCTGTATCAGTCAGTTGAATTTGTTTTGCAAAATTCTTTTCGTTTTTAGTGAAGTAATTTTAGATTAAAATGGAATTTAGCAACACCGGTGGAATGAGAAGTCCATTTTCTCCGCGAGTGAGACAATCTATTACTGGCAGAAAACCCCTCGGCATGACTGCGAGGAAAAATCAAGGGTACGACATAACCTATAAAACACACTATTTTTTTATAATAAAAAAATAATTAAATAATATATCATAGAAATAGTCTGAAAATTTACCACTGACCAAACTTATCCAAATAATTCAAGATTTGAATTTTCTGATGAATCTTAGAGTTTGAAACCCACCAAATTATTTAATAAGTAAAAAAATTAAACGTGGAGTAACTTCATAAACAATACCAAATGTTTTGTGCAATACATACATTTACACCACTATTAGCACCATTTATTGCATAGTAATGAGAATGATCACTGCAAAGCACTGTCCAAGTCTACAATAAATCTGTAACTATTATGTTAGTCATGATTAGTACCTATCATAAATTTTTGATTTATGTCTCTAGGAAATTTTTACAAAGTCAAAGTTCGAGTGGTGATGTGATCTACAAGACTCCAGTAAGCACAATAGAAACATATGGCTCACCTTTACCAGTTATGGTCACAGAAACACTTACTTTTGGTATGCTATTATTTTCATCTTCATTTATAAGATAGTTGGCTTTATATTTTAGTTAATCAATCAATCAATCAATCAATCAAAATCATTTATTCAGTTTAGGCTGTTACAAGCACATATGAATGTCGAGAAGCTACGCCATCGGTTCGTAAATCTACGGCGGGAGACCTTGTACTGAGAAGAACCGGCAAGAAACTCAGCAAGGGCTGTTTTTTTCTCCCTGTTTTATCATTTACAGAGTCGTCAAGTTGAAAAATGACTTCAGAGATGATTCATGAAGTCACCCTTCATTACATAATGTGAAATTATACATTAATTGTACACCTGCATTTTGATTGCTGTGTCACACAGTATAAATACAAACAGAGTTATTTATAATAGGTGTAATTAAACATTTATATCTTAAATATCAAAGTAGTTAGGGCAGACTCATCTCCGCTGGCAGCACCCGTTCACGAGCATGACGCATGAACCAGCCATCGCTTCGCTCAACCATATTTTAGGGAACGTAACGACCCGCCTCACACGACACCACCGAAGAGACTTTTAAGAGAGCATGACTACCCATAACCACCTATATCAACCACAACATATTTACTTAAACTTAAAGTCATTTATCTGTAGGACACTGCAAACAATTACAAAGCAAAAACAATGGAGAAATCATGACCACGCCGTTTTGTCAATAGCAATGAAATAAATATAATAATAATAAGATATTACAATTTTATTTTATTTATAAGATGAGTTATTCCAATAGTGTTCCAGGGGGTCTGCCACCATCAGGATTGCTTTGGCTGTTGCTATAGCTTATGGTTTCATTTTGTTATTTCTGATCACCAATGATTTTCAAATTATGTATGAAATAAATAATAAATGTTGTTAATATGTAGGTATATATTTATGTTCAATTATATATATTTACTAGGTGACCCAGCGAACTTCGTATCGCCATAAAAAAATAAAGGTTGGTGGTAGAAGGGTGAAATTGTAGGGTTATATGTATTTACTAATGCTGTGTCATAAAAAGATTTAAAAAAATCTAAAATTGGAAATTAGGGGTGGATTAACATTTAGGGGGATGAAAAATAGATGTTGTCTGATTCTCAGACCTACCCGATATGCACACAAAATTTCATGAGAATCGGGAAAGCCGTTTCGGAGGAGTTTAACCACAAACACGGCGACACAAGAATTTTATATATTAGATATGTGGCATGTATATGTTTAAATATTATATATATGTAAAATATAAGACAGTGTATACTAGACAATTACTTATATGTACGGTAGCAGTCATAGAATGTTTAATGACGCATCGAGAATAACAAAAAGAATTAGATATTACTTTTTGATATTAAAACTCATTTCTTTATTTGTTGAAAGGACATTTATAAAAAAAATATTGTTTGCACATTGTTTGGACAACAGAAATTTTTTACAAAAAAAATTTCATAATGAAAATAAAATGGCAAGTTTGACCCTGAGCAAAGGGCTGAAATAATATTTCTCTTCGAAGATGGACATAGTATTAGTGCTATATCACGAGAACTCAATATGTCGCGATTCACTGTGAGTTTTTGGTGCGTCGAAGAAGAGCTATTAACATATCATAGAAATAATTCAGGACGACGACCAATACTAACCGCCGCGCAAATAACAGAAATGATTCGTGATTTATATGATTTGAGTGCTCGGACGATCCAACAAGCTTGCACAGTGCTGGACTACACTACAGACACCATGCTATTAACATGGAGTTGAAACCTCACATCAAAACAGCCCGGCTTAACTTTGCACGACAACATCTCGATTTTGAATGGTCAAATACTATATTTACGGATGAGATAACCTTTAAATCAAGCCAAATCGGGAGATTGACTTTATGGCGCTATAACCGAACTCGGTATGATGAAGCTCATATTGTTCCTCAAACGAATCAGGTCGCATAACAGTAAACTTATGGGGGTGGATGAGCCTCGACGGCGTCGGAGAACTGACGTCGTTAAAGAATCGGGCTACTGCTATTAATTATGTGTCGCTTTTAGCAGAAGTGATGCTGCGTACTGTGCGCGTAGTGTATCCTGCAACAGAATCCCCGCACATTACTTATGTTCAAAATAATGCATGGACACACGGCCCGTGCTACTATGGCTTGGTTCAACCTGCACCGTGACATTCGTCCCATACAATGGCCTGCTCGGTCTGCTGATTTAAACACTATTGAAAAGGAGAATGCCCATCGTAGTATGGACTGTAGTATCGCTACGAAAAATTTTGTACAAAGATGGTTTTTACCTTATTTTGTAGGGTCCTATGTGTAGATTCAATAATGAAATATACTTTTTCTCTAGCTCGACGGGTAATACGAATAATCATATAACAAATGTCATTATATTAATAATTATTCCCTTCACTCTTTCAAGTTTATCTATCTATAAAATGGTTGGAACAAAACAGAAATCAACTCAGCTTAAAGGAAATAGAAAGAAAATAATTATAAACACTGAAATATTTACCAAATAATCTGAACGAAATTAGATAGAAACGCCAGTGAAAAAAAAACAATTTGATAGACCCTACTGGAAATGATATTGCCAGTTTTATAAAAATATACGAATGAATCGATATTCATCTTTTCCGATTTATCTATACTGGTATAATAGTTTCATCCCGCACTGAGATAGATTTATGATCATAGTAGAAGCATAAATGTTACATTTGCAAATATAGCGTATAATATCAGATAAATTATGTGTTAAATCCTTTTTTTTTTGACTACCCCTCGGTAATAAAGACAATTATCCGGTAAAAAAACTGTTATCTTGATATACAGATCAGACTACTTTTTTGCGACAATTGTAATTTAATATAATATGTTTTCTTTAGCATATTGAATTTACATAAACATAATCAAACTCGTTATTTTGATGAAATAACTACAAGTGCCGCGATTATATGTTGATAAATCGATACGGTTATTACAAAATAGCAACACTGAGGAGACAAGTGTCAAAAAATACAAATGAAATGGAAGTGAATGAATTACTAATTTATTATAGAGATTTTTGTTCGGCGAAGTTAAAGCAAACTATTTAACATGGTTTTGTGAAAATTAAAAACTTGATTTTTGATATAAATTAGGTAAACGTACAAGGCCGACCAAGGACGATACTACCAATGGGCATTCTCCTTTATGGGTTCTTATGGTTCAACTCTGGGACTGTCAAAATGAAAGGAACCATCATGATCTTAGATCACACTTTGCTTGAGTTTGGGATGATATTAGAGGGACCGATCTATGCGCACGTCTTGTTGCATCTATGCGAGATAAACTTCGTGCCGTCATAGCTGCAGAGGGAGTTTATACTAGATATTAAAAATAAAGATTTTTGAAGTTTTTATTTTATTAGTTATTCATGTTCTTAGTTAAAAAACTATTAATTTTTTCAATGGTTTTCTATATTTGTTTTACATCACGGCTAGTGCAGAGGTCGTCGCCTAGTGCGCAACGGGTCGCGGGTTCAATTCCCATACGGCACAAATAATTTGTCCTGGTCTGGGCGTATGTGCAATGTGCATGTGAAATTATAAGTATTATTCGTAAGTGGAATTCTTTACCCGCGCACGTGTTCCCTCCTTCCTATAATCTGGGATCCTTTAAGAGAGGCGTGAAGAAGCATTTTTGCGGGCCGGCAAGGTGAGGATGGTTGGTGTAGCAGTTAATAACTGCTGTACCAGCTATCTTCGCGTTTGGACTTTATCACCACTTAACATCAGGTGGGGTAGAGTCATTTGCCTACCTAGTAATATAAAAAAAAAAAAATTATATGTTTGTAATTACACCCATGATACAGAAGAAAATCCTAGTGTGAGGCGAAGTGTTTAAAAAAAATATATATATCAAACTTTGATAGTAGTCAGTCTATCTCCTAGAGCGATTGATTGTCATATCATTAGAAAAAAGATAATCTATGGTCAATCAAATTATTATGAAATGGACATTTAGAACTTGTGACCTAAATGTGTGCATACAAATATGATCCTTAAGGTTGTAAACATTTTCTGACCGCGACCGTACTTATATTATAGTAATTACATATTTACATTTCTCATCTACTCTGCTGGCTTACTACATCTTCTTTTCCGTTTAGCTCACCTATACCACGAACGTTGTATAGGTAAGCTAAACGGAAGAAATCACTTGTAGCGATAAGACCGCCTTTGCCCATATTATTGTTAAATGTATTCTTTGTACCTATGTCCTTTTGTATGTGAGCAATAAAGTGTTTATTATTATTATTATTAAATTATGTATTCTAGCAATTCCATATCATTGATAATACTGGTTTTCAGCTAGTGGTGAATTAAGTGTACGTCTGTCGCCTTGTGGCTGGTGCTGGTTAGTTGCTGGACGACGGGTGGTCGCATGGCCTCGAGAGTCCACCAGTAGTGGCTTATCATCGCCCGCACCAGCTGGAGCACCACCAGCTGCTCGAGAATTGACATTACCGCAAACAGATTTAGCACATAAGGCTGATTTGGTAGAGTTATTCTATGAAGATGGGGCACAGGTAAATAAAACTTCACTATCTGTGATCTAAATTATCATTCAATCGTTTATAATATTTTTACTTTAATCATTAAATAACTTAATTTATAAATTTAAGATAATTCTACTAGATAACTAAGTGGGTTGTACTCAAAAGTAGAATTTTCTGAAGCTTTGTAATTTGACCAAAAAGTAAATTTTAATTATACTTTCATATTGTTTTTTAAAAATGTATTCATGTTTAAAAGAATTGATAAAAAACATGTTAAAATATATCCCACTTAGAATTTGTGTTTAAAATAAGTATTCTTTTATAAGTGCTTTTAAGATTTCTGCTTGTCTGCAGATGCCATCATGTGTAGGCGTTTCGCCAGAGGGCTTGGTTCGGTACTGGTGGTCTGTCGGCCACGAGAGCGCCTCTGTTGACGTATCATGCGATCTCGCTGGCCAAGAGTGTGACCGTCTTGTTGCCACTTCAGAATACCTGCTATTAGCTACTACTACTTGTTCGGTAGTGCTGCTGCATCCACAGAGACATGGTTAGTGATATATTTATAAGTGTATTTACTTTTTCTGCCCAAAATTCATAAATTTTTATTGCATAGTCATATAGTTAAAAGATGAGAATTTAGTTACCTGCACGGGTGTTTGCAATTTATTTGTACATAAACGTATTTAATAATATTTAATACAAAAATACAATTACATCAGTTACCATCAATTCAAATATACTTTGAACAAGAACAATATTATATTTATTTTAAGCATTTAACTGCTACATTTGTAATTATAAAGTGTTCTTTTTCTTTGAAAAAAACTAAAATAATATTATTTTAGTTACATATATGAAACCATTAAGACATTATTAGAGCGCATAACTATTATATTAATCAGTATAAGTTGTAGTTTATGACGAGATCTCTTTTTAAAATAAAAAGGTGACCACCTTTTTATTCAAAAGGTGGTCACCTTTTTATACTATTCTATTGACCCTTGCAAAGAAATCACTCATACATTTCCTTACCCTGACCCAATCCTCAACCCTTAGAGGCCTGCTTACTTACTTACCGATTGAAACAACAGCACTAAAAGGTAGTATTAATTTACTGTATTTCAATTCAAGCAGAAAAAGTGCTTTGCCCTACCTCTCTTTTATTTCAGGAAAGTAAATAACCACGTATCCTTTATAACTCCTTTATTAGTATTGTTTGATTGTATGATGTTTAGCTAAATACTTGCATAATATCGTGGTTAAACAGAGGGTCGAGCTACTGTGACCTGTCGTGTGCTACGTCCACCAAGCGGCTGGCTGGGAGGCATTGGGCGTCGCGTTTCTTTACTCTTCTTTGGCTCGATGCCTGCTCATGCGGATACTGTAAGTAATGTCTCTTATTAGTAACGAAACTGATTTCCTTGATTCTAACTACCCGAATAAATGTTATTTCCCCATTCACCATTATTTCAATTATTAAGTGTCACTATTTCATATTGCATAGTTCATAATATCAATATTATTATTAGGTATTTATTTACCAATAATACCTATAAGTGCTGGCCTCCGACCTATATACGCACTACTACACCAGTGGTATTAGTAAGCGCTTTAACTATGGTGATTGACTTAGAATTTGAAGACTTTCTATTTCTGTTATCTGTTAAGTTCATTTCACAGAAATTGTTAAGCGTAGAAGTATTATCGGAGGGAACACTCGATGCCACTGAAGAGAGGGAAGGCCGCGTAGTTCTCGTGGGTGGTGGGGGCAACACAGGCGGCGGGCCTCTCATACAAGTGTTACTTCCGGAAAATTTTACGATCATAGCTTACGGAGGCTACTCATCATCAGCCTATCAATTAGTTCGCACTGCAGGAGCGCAGGCCCCCCTATGGATGGAATAGGGAGATTGAGGCCGTGATCCAGAACACAGGCCTATTGCGGATTGATATGTGTTTACGTATGCCTCTTAACGTGCTTTCCGAAGCACGGAGTCACCCATTCGATGGCGAGTCATTGCAAAAGTTGCTTAACTTTCACGATGGCAGATCGATCACTCTAACTACTTGCGCCATCGAGCTCCTCATAGGCCGCTAGAATCTAAAAAGATATATTTTTTTATACAGAAATTAAAAGAGTAGTTTATTTCACAGAAATTGGTAGGCGTAGTAGTACTATCGGAAGGAACACTCGATGCCACCGAAGAGGGGGACAGGGAAGGCCGCGTAGTCCTAGTGGGTGGTGGGGGCAACACTGGGGGCGGGCCTCTGATACAAGTGTGGACTGCGGGAGAATTGCACGAGCACAGTCTACGTAGGCCGCTCACTGAAGCACACGCAAGACATGGTGAGTAATACCCGCTGTGATAGATGTTGCGTAACGTCGACAACTTTATGAGAAAAAGCTAAGTATATATTGTTTTAAACTTTCATGGTCACTAACACTATAGCTATTAACGGGATTGTTACGTGGTTCGTAAGTGCAAAACCCACAAAAATCAAAAAAAGTGTGTCGGGAACAGGTGCGAGTGAATAGTGAGCATGTGACCAGTGGTAGGGCGTCAGAGGGTGGACCGATATGTCTGCCAATAACATGTATCTACAAGTACTTCAGTTACTCCGTGATCATGGCGCTTGCAACAGTGCCGAATCGGAAACGCATAAAAACAAGGTACATGGTAACGATCCCGTTAAAAGCTGTAAAAGCTAAGTATATAGATTTGACAGTTATATCCCGTTTACATTAAGTCTATGCGCGCGGCAACTAGCAGAGACATTAAATAGGTAATAATGCAAACATATAAACCATTAGCCGGGTCTACACTAGTCGATCTATCTTGGAGCGGTGATCTCGCGACCCGCAATGCAGGATTGTGGAGCAAGGGAGCAAAAATTGCAATAGCAGAAACAAGATATATTTTATTAAAACATTTACGAGATATACTAACCAATGGGATTGCATAAATCTATCCACTGAAAAGGAGCGGAAATTAAGTGCAATTTTATTGGTTAACATTTCTCCGTTTCTTAGCTTCGTTCCGTTCCAGTGGACAGGCAGCTTCAAAGCCGCGCTTAACTAAGACACTGCTTTTGAAGTCGTCATATTGTTTTGTTACAGGTGACTTGAGTGGAGCAGAACTGATTGCTTTGGATGTGCGCGCCAGTGGCAACAACGGTTTACTGCTGTTGCTAGCAGCTGATCGCAGATACGCTATAGGTAAATGTATATTATATTGAATATATTTGGTACTTTTTTGTCGTTTTACAGTACCCCTTTTCGATTTTATATTTTTCCAAAACGACTTTGGATCCCTTGCTATATTTGTATCGTCTCTTTATGATGCTCATGTGCATAGCTTATCATGGGTGTATTCCGTAATATATACCAGTATACTGGCCAGTGCTAATGACTTCACGAATCCGACGCCATATTGTACTGGTATGCTACCATATTTTTACCGGGAAAACGAATATGACTTATGACCGAGCGTTCGTGCGATGCATTCGATTTTTTTTCCACTTCTTTTTTAAAGAACAATAGTGGCATCCGAACAAAAATAATTCCTTTTAATTGATGAGGTGAATAAAAAATCTTCTCTATTCGCACTATTTCGTCGTTCATGACGTCAGTGCACTGGCCAATATATTTCGGGACAATTCACCAGTATAGCGTCGATTCATGACGTCATTAGCACTGACCAGTATACTGGTATATATTACAGAATACACCCCATACTTTTTACTTATTTTTTTTTAATGCTTTATAGTTCTAGACAATTAAATTTATATCGATATAAAAAAGAAATCTCCATCGTACTGCTGCAATCGGTAAGAATTATGATTACGCCATACTTACTTTTCTTGGGGAATTTTGTAATGACACACTGGCATCACTTTCAAAATGTCAAGGTGGAGACGTACATTTTTTAACTAATATGGTGGTATTGTTTTATTTTTTTATGATGAATATTGAGTTACTTAGCGATAGTAAGTGACTTTGTTTGTTGATTGTTTTTATGCGTCCTTTATAGTTTCCGCAAATTTCAAAGCAATAATTTCAACACGAAACTCTGTAATTGGTGTGCGTATCGCTCAGCGTTACATTAAACACTAAGTGACGGGAAACGACTTACAGTCAAGCAATTGGCTAATATTTTTTTCAACGTCATCTGCGCCGCCACGCTCTATCTAGAAGTAAATAATCAAAGGTAGCTAGTACCTATAAATGAATGGTTTTAGATCGAATAATTTTGAGATAACGCAGTATTGATTTTCATGTATGTGTGTGTATCAAATGAAACGTTTTGTTGAGTAAAATATGAATAACCTACCGTCGGTGTCCAATTTTCTTGTTATTCGATCATTTTAATAAAAGGTTTTTTTCACAAATGTATATTTTTGACAGCGCACATATCTGTGGAAGACCCAGCTAATCCGCGCGTGACGTCACTGGTCCCCTTACGCAACTGGCCGTGTGACGTCGAACAACCACCGCCGCGATTCCTGCCGCTCGGACCTCTCGCTCTGTTATATACACCTGCCTACTTAGCCCTGGTTTCTAGTGAGTTATTTAGCATTAATAATATTACTAGTGGCTACCCGCGACTTCGCCTGCATGGAAAAAAATATTTCCTGCACAAAAGTTTCACTACCACAGCGCCGAAACTTTTCATGAAATTTAAGTTCTTAGAAAGCCCCATGCTTTCAGAATCTTTATAGGGATTCAGATCATGGGTCTAGATAAAGTCTTGTATGCAACTGTGTATAATTAGGTATTAAAACACTCATGTATTACTATTATCACACTCAGATTCGCCTCACCAACCCAACCCACATTTGTGTTTTAATACCCTCATTATGCAACAGTTGCATAAATAACTATTTCTTACACTCACTCCAATCAGCCTAGCCAAAAAGTACACGCAAGCGCCGATGTTGTCAACAAAGCTCCACAGTGTCCTATATCTAACTGACGACCGGACGTTAACACGGTTTAATAATAATAATAATTATTTCCAATACTCACACCAAGTAGTCTAGCCCCAAAGTAAGTACTGTAGGATTGTGTTATGGGATACCTAGTATCCCATCCTATGTAATGGATAGAATACATATACTGTGCATATATAAGTATATATAGAAATACATATTAAACATCCATGACTGGAGTACAAATGCTCGTATTAATCACACAAACATCTGCCCCCACCGGGATTCGAACCCGGGAGGACCTGTCGAGTCGGCGACACCATGAAACCCGGCGTACAACCCACTTGGCCACGGAGGTGATCAAAACCGTGCCTAGACTGCGGAAATCGTCTCGTTAACAAGCGCCCTGAGGCTTCTGTCATGGGATTTGATACTAGGGTAACAAATAGAAATATATAACAGTCAAGATCTCCATCACTAGTCTATCAATGTTCCCTCTACTGGAGCACAGACCTTTCCTGTAGATGGAATAATAAGATTGGATAATTTTACTCTGAGTGCCCCCCCCCCCCCCCCCCTATTACTCATTAATTCTCTTTTAATATTAACAAAGCCTCAGACAGTTATCTCAGGATGGTACAGTGTTTTGTATATTCTTATAGGCACAGTGTCTAGCGACAAGGTGGATATAATCGACGTATCCGCGGAAGGTGACCGCGTGCTAGGCGCGGAACTTTGCGATGGAGTGCCGCTCATATTCAGCAGGAAACACGGCGTTTTGGCTCTGTCCACTGCTGATAGCCTGGTACCCACTCCGTAAGTATAAAGACGAAAGATATAAAAAAAACGTCCAAGTGCGAGTCGGACTCGCGCACCGAGGGTTCCGTACAAACTCAATTTAATACCTCTACGCGTTCATGAGAAAAGAGGTAGTAACTTTAAAATTTTCAAAAATATTTTTTATTGTATGATGTAACTAAAAATTTACGGTTTTCGCAAGTTTGCGGCATAAACAGCTGTATCCTTTGATTGCTTTGGCTTAGAAGTTTGATTTCACAGCTCCAAGGGACAGTAGACATGAGTATTAGATATGAATTTCAATTTGATACCTCCACGCGTTCCTGAGAAAAATGGTCTTGACAGACCGTCCGTTTTTTACTGTTGAGGTACGGAACCCTAAAATTGATTGAGCATTCTCTGTCGAACTGTGAAAAAACTGGGCAGACAAGTGGGAAAAAGATGCAGAGATCATGCGGCCAATAATAACAGTCCGTATATGTATTGGATGCACCATCGTCTTTTCTCTTTCTAGAAAGTGGTCAATTTCGCGTGCCCGGGCTTTCAGAATAGGGCCCGAAGCTTCTATAGTTATTTATTATACAAGTGCGGTAAGTTGGTTGTCACAAACGAGTAGATGAATGTAATGGGGCTTGCCATAGTCACGAGTTTGTAAATACCAATTCCGCACGAATGTCATGTAACATTTTTCAACACATTTGCAAGAAAACAGTACCTATATCTACCAATAAATCAAATACATAGAGAATGTAGTGCCGCTCATATTCGTCAGGAAACACGGCGTCCTGGCTCTGCTCACTGCTGCTAGCCTGGTACCCACTTCATAAGTATAGATAGACCCTGTCTAACTTTCTGTGAAAAAAAAATACTATGTGTAGTATGTACATGTAACTTTTATTTATAATTTAATGTGATTTTTTGTTTCAGGTCAGTATGCGACAGTCCAATGGGCTCGCCGTGTCCGTCTGATATGTACGATGGCAATTTATCTCTATACGAAATTGATCCACACGAGGTAACCAATTACACTCATGACATAGCTCGTTAGCCTTTTCTTTGTACCTTTCATTTACATACGTGTTATCTTGCATACTTGAAGGAAGGGAAAATAAAAAATGTAACAGTTGTTAACTTTGCCAAGTAGAAAGTTTGTCTGTAACGACGGATATATTTCGATAATTTTTAAAGATGATGGACTGATATTTAGTTGTTACTCTAAGGATTCATTTCAACAAGACGGCTAACTGACTGTACCCGTGGCTAGCGCCGATGTTGTGTGATTGGCTTAGAAGTGTCCCATACAACACGGATGATCGAACTTAGACCCGATTTGATGCCGGGCTTAGCTCCGGCGAAAACCGTCTCGTGGACATGAGCCGTACAAACGCCTGTTAATATGACCATTTTCCGCTGGCCCTAAGCACGGTTTTAAAACCGTTTCTATGTCCGGTAGTCAGTTAAGTATGGAACACTATTGAGGTTTTTTAACAACACTGGCTCTAGCGACGCTTTGGGGTCAAAAACGTACAAACCGTGCTCGTAAACAGGCATTGCCGGCACCGGCTCAAGTAGAAATCTTATCGTTAACAAGCGCCCTAAAGAACTAATATTTATTCTAACGTAAATATCACTACACGGCACAAACATTTTTTTGCCCCATATTGGATATCAGAGAATCGTAAGTGCTGTCAATATCAAGGCACACCAGAGTGCTAAATATATTTATATTTTAATATAAACATCCGTAACGACACTTCGGTGACCTTACATTTCGAATTTCGAATAGTCAAATCTAAGATGTACTGAATAAAACGATAGACATTGCTAGCCTATTGCCTTTTATGTCCTTTCTTTTGATATGGCTTTACTATCCGCATGGAAAAGTCATGTCTTGATGACAACTCGTCACAGGTTTTATGTTTTATATGATCGCAATAAAACGTTTCGTAGGTGAGCTCAGTGACGACAGATCTATGCGGCCAATTGAAGGCCGCTTTTTTGTTCTACGTGCGGCGTGAAGAAGCCGCTTGTCGCTCCATGCTTCAACAACTGCCTACCGCGGCGCTGCCCACAAACGCTGTGACTATCGCCGCTGATATGCTGGACGATGCGCCCGCTGGCGATCCTAGGTAATTATTTTTTACCTATATGTTTTTCATAAACACACCATCATCTCAGTCATAACACTCTCCTAGATTTAATACACAACAACATAGTAGATTACCTTTTGCGCCAAAATTACACTTAACTTTCAATCGCGCACAGAAACTTATACAGCCAGAATAGGGTATGTGACAGTATTAAAAATAAAGTGCGAATTGTTAGCATCTGTGTTAAGAATGAATATTGACAGGGGTTTTTTACTATTTTTACAAAATAATATTCATGATTTACTACAAACCCACGAAAAAGATAATAGTTTTCTTATCTATGGTCGCGTGACCCAAAACGCTTGGGATTGGCAGAGCCTAAATTGACGTCACACGCAAGTAAACTTCCGGTTAAAGTGATATTACATTGTATCGTTTGACGTTTTAATAACAGTTGTGTGACGTCACACACTAGTAAGACGCCATATTGTCCAGAGAAACGTTTTCGCGGCAACTTGAAAATTGAGTTTTTGATTTGGTTATTTTTACCGAAATACACAACAGAATGATGAATATTCACTTTTCACGGACTCCATTAACATTAGTCATTACGTGAGATCATTTTCTAAAACTTGTCAAATACCCTATTGGCAATGACCAACTAGAGGCTAGGTCATGTATATGCAACGATATAAAATACCCCAGAAACAACAACACGAACAAAATCGTGCCTGAAACCTGTCCAAAAGGTACATTGGACGATCCACGGAGCTCAGTAAGATGATCACGTAGTTAATAACTATAAAAGGCATTATTTAAACATTAATTTATAGTAAATAAAGTCTTAATTAAAACGCATGCGTCTAAAAGTTATGACAATTCCAAATACGACTTATTGCTATATGCGGAAGAATATAGACCTTATTTCTTTGACTCTACGCGCAATTCTGAATACGCTGTTAGCAATGTAGCAGGAACGGCTCGCGAGGAAAAGAGACGGCTATATAACCGACCATTCATTTGAATATTCACAAATATTTTCTATTAAATCAGTTTATAATAAGTATTAGGACAAAAATTGCTTCAGATGCTTTGAATTAACAAACATTGATTAGATACCGGGTGAAAAAACGATACTTTACGTACTAAAAGTATTTTTTTCGCATTTCATCAATGAGCTCTGTAGCATCTTGACTTTTCAACGGTCCGCGAGTGACTGTAAACCAAGAAGTGTTTGAGTGGTGTTCAAACACTCCTAGATCCAACACACAATAAATTTTACTCGTAACACCTTTTGCGCCAAGATTACACTAAACTTTCAATCATGAATGACACAAAACCGGATATAAATTAGCGATGACTTACTAAATGCTTAGTTACGTTTATGCCTAATGGCTCAATTACACTTGGTCGTTAGCCTGAAGACGATTTCCAATGAAATTCGGTTAAACGACTAAGTGTTAATGTAAGGAGACAAGTACGCTTTCGGGTACTTTTCGTTTTGGTTACCCGAAACTGTCTTCCAACCCGTATTCCAGTGTAAATATTGCTCCGGGTGACCGAATTCCAGTAATGTCATTCTTGCACCCGAATACGCCCTAACGACAAAACGTAATTGAGCCATTAATGTTGCTTCGGGTACCCTGAATTCGATTAATATATTACGTGCACTTCCGAACTAGGGCTAACGACCAACTGTAATTGAGCCATAAGGTCTATCTGAAATCAATGCATGCTAAGGCGTATTCGCTACAACCAATAGTGCCAATGTCAAACCACGACATTAGCATATTTAAGAAGCCGCCTCTCTATGCCACAACAACGGCGTACTGCGGCCTTGCCTACATGCGCTATGACTATTGTCGCTGATATATTGGATATTTTACCCACTGGCAATTAATTATAAAGATCGGACTAACTTACCAAGTGACGTCCGATCCCCAATTATGTGTAGTAATCTCGTCCTCATATTTGTAACTATGTAGTCGCATCTTTGTGCCTACTACGCTGTCCACATATTTGAATTAAAATATTATGAGAAAACAATTAGGTCTGTGGTCTCACTCTATGCTTCCGCTTCCCGCGCTGCATCGTCACCCGTCAATGTCATTTTCTTTAAAGATTTTCAAAATTTTAGAAAAAACACAACTTTCAAACCGGGGGTAATTACATTATATAATTTCTTTAACTAGGGCAGGGAAGGGATTAGTATGAGGACGAGATTACTACACATAATTGGGGATCGGACGTCACTTGGTAAGTTAGTCCGATCTTTATAATTATGTTCTGTAATCTCGTCCTCATATTTGTAACTATGTAGATGTTCAAAGAAGAAAGTTGTGTCAAATAATAATCATTTATTTACTATCATAACAGTAATTTTTTAAACTACTATGAAACATTACGTCAAATCAGTCTTAAACATTCATAGTCTTGCTAATTTTGACTATATTCAATTATAATTAAGTCTCTACGAGAACAAGTAACATTAATAATCTTTTTAAAACAAAAAAATAAAATCACATGAAATTTAAGCAACTTAACATTCCTGAGCAATACTTACAGAAAAAACAATAACAAGATATAAATCTAAATCACAAATTCTTTTCAATTTTAGCCTCAGCAAAAACATTTGGTCTGCCAATAATAGGTCTTTTATAGAAGCGAGCAAATGTAGAAGAGTTTGTAGTCCAGCCTGCCACTTTTCTTATGACCTCAATGTTTACCCCCCCCCCCTCAGAAGCTTTTGAAGTCGAAGCATGCCTTGTGCTATGTGTTGCATACTTATTAACATCTATTCCACTGTCACTTAAAGTTTCTTTAATCCACCTACTTATAGTCGTAGCAGAAGCGGCATGGTGGGGCTTTTTTATTGTTAATATTAGTTGCTTACACCCTTGTCTTATATTCTCAGTCTTATTTAAATAATCTAGAAGTATTGTGGCTGGACAGATATTAGCATTTTCTCTAAAAAATGGTAATACTAGATTTGGTTGCAACCTACTGGGAGCTGTGGTTTTGATGGTGGCTGGAATTCTTATATTAATATTGTCATCATTTATAGAAATATCAGTGATGCAAATGAGCGATATTGTTTGTACCCTGTGTGCAGTGACTAGGGCTAATAAGGTCACAATTTTTTTACTTAAAATACTTAGAGAAAGACTATCATTAGGGAATAAATCTGACAAATAATTTAAAACAATATCAGGGTCCCAGATATCTTCATACCTTGGAGTTTTGGGTCTTAATTTATATATGCCTCTAAAAAACCTTGTAATTCTCTCATCTGACCCTAATTGTGACCCTAGAATTAGAGAAATAGCAGATCTCATTGAATTGAGAGAGCTATATGACAAACGTTCATTAAATTTTTGGGCTAAAAAAGATATAACTGTTGGTACCGTGCTTGATAAAGGATCCACATTATCATTTTTACAAAAAATAATCCACTGACTTAGAGAGTGCTCATATTGTCTCCTTGTCTTTTTAGACAATGAAGCAAGTATTATTTCCATGGAAGAATGTGGTATCCCTCGCTTCAGAAATGACTCCCGGATAATTTGGCTGCAATCAATGTCAGATTCCTTTGTAGAGGGTGGGGTGTCTGGAAGGAGACAAGAGTAAATCACTACGAGGTTTAAATACAATCTGTTCAGACACAGCCAAAGAGTTGAAAAGCGGATACCAAGGTTGTGCGGGCCAGTTCGGTACCACTACAACACCATTAGCATTATCTTTTATTATTTTTTGCAAAACTCGAGGTATGAGAGCAAAAGGGGGGAACGCATAAAAGAAAAATTCGTTCCACTTAAGCGTAAAAGCATCCACAGAGTGTGCACTGGGGTCTGGCAACCAAGAAACATACTTTTTACATTTTGCATTAAATATACTAGCAAATAAATCAATTTCAGGGACACCAAATCTATTCGTTAATATCTCATAGGCACTGTCACATAGCTCCCATTCAATTTCTGAAATCGAACGTCTGGACTCTTTATCTGCAATAAGATTGTCTTTAGAACTTATGTAAGATGCGTACACCCACAAGTGTCTAGCTTCGCACCACTGCCATAATTGTTTTGCTAAGTTATTTAAGTGTGAAAAACGAGCACCGCCCATTCGGTTAATATATGCAATGGCAGTTGTGTTGTCTATTCTCAAAAGGATTTCACAATTTTTTAAATCCGATGCATATGTCTGAAGACCTATAAATGCTGCTAAAAGTTCTAGATAGTTAATATGAAGCTCCTTTTCTTCATCTGTCCAGTGCCCATGTCTTTTAACATTATTACATACAAGACCCCAACCTGTGCACGATGCATCAGAAAATATCTCTAAAGTAAAAACATGAGATCTAATTTTTTTGCAATTGGCTGGAATATTATGACACCACCATTCTAAATCTGATAAGATTTCATCAGTTATAGATATAAAACCTTCATAATTATTATAATTGTCCCTTAATGCTAATGTTTTTTGTCTCTCCATAGCTTTTGTATAAAGCAGACTATACTCTAATGCTGGGCATGCAGCTACCAGTTGACCTAAAATTCTAGCAAATTCTATGATTTTACATCTTTGTTTTTGTTGTAAATAATGTATAGAATTAACTATTGATACTTTCTTTTTCTCAGGAAGCGAAACAGAAAGGTTGACAGAGTCTAGTATAAATCCTAGATATTGACACACCTGTTTTGGTGTAAAACAGCTTTTATCTGTGTTAATTATAAAACCTAAACTTTCTAAAAAAATCTTAGTATTGTTTACATTCTCTGTACATTCCTGATAGGATCCTGCGAGACACAGAATATCGTCCAAATAAATTACAGACAGTAAACCTAATGAACGTAGATGAGACATAACTGGTTTCATTATTTTAGTAAACACATAGGGTGCTGTGCACAGCCCAAACGGGAGGCATGTGAATTCATACAGAATGCCTTTAAAAAGGAAACGGAGATACTTTCTATCAGCTTTTTGTACAGAAATTAAATAATAAGCATTTTTTAAATCAATTGTGGCCATAAAACAACTTGGTGTCATGAGCTTTATTGCTGTTCTTATATCCTCCAGCTTAAAATGAATATTTTTAACAAATTTGTTAAGTTTCTTGAGATTTAATATAAACCTCCAAGATCCATCCGACTTGGGGTGCAAAAATATGTTGGATAAGAATTGCCCCTTCACTGGTGAGCAAGTTACTATAGCCCCTAGTTGTAATAATTTATTTATTTCAATAGAAATAAGGTCAGTTTCTTTACAACTAAAAACATTATTTATTGGAAAATTAATCTGAGTTGGTATTGTATCAAAGAGTACCCATCAATCCAACTGATTATGGTTCGGTTAGGGGTGATGTTGTTCCAAAACTTAGAGAATAGTCTTAACCTGCCTGTCTGTACCTGATTCAGTGGCGACGGAAGTTCTGCCGACGGGGTGGACGTGACTTCTGAGGGGAACGTCTCGGAGGCCGGTTCGGTGCTAGTGTTTTCATTGAGTTGTTGGCAGGCCTCGACTTGAATGTTGGTCCACTGCGACGAGGCACTTGAGATCGCTGCGGACCCCGGAAGTTTAAATTTGTGTTGACCTTAATGACCTTCGGTGGTGTATTTTTAAGCTCTTGAGCTGACTTCTTCATGGCCTTACAAGCATTTACTTTATCTTGCAGCTTATCTCCGAATAAGTATTCTGTTATAGGCGATTTATCGAGGGTGTCTTTCAAATCTTTATTAAGACCTGGGAGAATTAACTTACGCCTTGTATCTGTTAGGTCATGATATAAAGTACACAGTAATCTACATGAGTCACTCAGATTCTGAATATTCTGAACACTTTCTGACTTTATTAATTGATTTAATACATTTCCGGAAGCAGAAATTGCTGCACCAAGAATTTTTTGTTGTTCACATATTCTCTTGTCCCTCTTAATAGCACTTTCATTTAAAGCTGCCATAATCTCTTCATTTATCATTGGTGGAACAAGTAACTGACAATTATTTGGTGCATCATACTTCATCAATAAATCTGATTTAGTTTGGCTATTAAGACCATTTTGCAGTATAGCCACCCAGCGCTTAACCAAGCTTTCATGCAAGTCTGCTGCATTGCTAGCGCAGGGCGCTCCTTCTAACCCCAAGAGATTTTCTATCTCGATTGGGATCTCCCTAAGATCATCTGTACATTGTGGTGCTGGTGAATGAACTGGTTGAACTGTTGGACTTGGTATTGATCTTTGTGGTGAATGTGAGTCTGACATATACTGTGGTTCTGGTGAGGGTGAAAGTGAGAGTATGCGCTGTCTCCTCATGTGTGGAGAACGACTTCTACTCCGGCTCTGATATGAACATTGTTCATGATCATTCTCTAGAAAAAGGAAAAAAAGTAACTCATGTAATATTCTTAAATATCACAGAATGATCCCTCTAAAAGTTCTTAATGAAGTATGAGCTGGGACAAAGAACACATTGCGATATACAAATACCACATATTAACCTCCTTACTACGTACTTGTGGTGCATGTCTTGGAAAAGAAAACACGATTCTCATGGTTAGCCTCCCGTGAAAACTCTAGAGATCTAGTGTTTACGAAACATTTTTGCTATTTACACCGGCACTAAACACTAAAAACGTTCTCACGGTTAACCTCTCGTGAAAACTCTAGAGACTTAGTGTTTACAACGGAAAGCAGATATTTATACGTAGTAAGAAAACTTGATAAAATAAACACTGAAACGTTCTCATGGTTTACCTCTCGTGAAAACTCAGAGACAAGTGATAACAAGTTTCTCATAGCGAAGTAGTGAGTATCTAATATAACTAATAAAAATACAAGACTTACATACCTTTTTCGCGATAGTGTTTATTTAACTTTTTCTCCAACTTCTTTAATTTACGTTTTAACGACTTGTAGTCTTCACGTTTACCCATTTTTGATCTTTTATTGTACGTGAGATATTTTTTCCGTGTGGACAACGCAGAGCACAAAAAGATACAATGACATTGACAGGTGACGATGCAGCGCGGGAAGCGGAAGCATAGAGTGAGACCACAGACCTAATTGTTTTTTATTTTAGCTTTTCATTTTACAACTTCAAATATGTGGACAGCGTAGTAGGCACAAAGATGCGACTACATAGTTACAAATATGAGGACGAGATTACAGAACATAATTATTAAATAAGTAATTATTGTAGATACTCCCAACTTGGTAACTATGGGCTGTTAATAGGTTAACTTCAGACCCCCTTAAAATGTCTCCCGAAATGTTATCAATGTTGTATACTTTCACCGCTGTAGATATTAATATAGTAACGATTCTCTCTCATGTGACTATAAATACACTGATCGTTGTCACCCTTAAGTGAGTGTGTAAATTCTGAGTAATTTGTGGTTCTTGTTTAAAATATATTATGCTGGCACTTGGTTCACATCGCCATTCGTACTTGCTATTTGACAGCAGTCCCTCGTTTATTTTTCTATAGAGAAATATTCCTATTTATTTGTGTGCAGATGGAAATCTCGCGTAGGCGGACTTCGAACTCGCATACCTCTAGGCAGTAGCACGGCGCTAGCGCACGCGCAACAACTGCGGGACAAACAGCGGGCATTGGCATTGTTCAGAGACTTTCTACGGGCGCAAGGAGCTTTACATGGTATGATCGTGTTTAAATATTGAACAAAATAGACAAAAGTACCTTAATATTAGTAAATTAAAAGAACAAGTAATGTTTTCAGTTTTCTTTTTATATTCTCTTTGTTTTTTTACAATTTATATTTGTAGTTTCTTTGTCTATTATATTTGTAGTAATTAACAACGAGAGAAACTTGATTAAGATTGATATGATTATTATCAATGTTTTATATAATATTGACAATGTTTCGTTGTTGACTCGTACGTTTGTAAATACAAATATTTTACCTCATTGCAATTCAAAATAGAATTAATGAATGAATGCATCATCACTTTATTGTACACCATGAACTTTTAAATAACAATGAATTAAGACTATTTACATAATAGTACAAACGGCGGCCTTATCGCTAAGAAGCAATATCTTCCAGGCAACCGTATGTTAACTGGACTGTTACATAGAGAGTGGGAAGTAGATGGTGGCATTTAAAGTGAAATTACCATTAATAATACTCATAAATAATTATGTACAACAAAAAATAAAACAAATACATAAACATAATGTATCTATAAATAAACACACTAACATTTTAATCATACTTACTTTGGATGATGTGACGATTCGCTAAAGTATCAAGTATTGTTCCTTTAACATTTTTTTAAGACAAGCTAATGTTTTTGCACCTTTGATTGTTTCCGGCAAGGCATCTAAAAACTTTAGAAAAAGATAACAGTTTTCTGACATAGTGTCACGGTTCCGAAAACGCCTGGGATTGGCGGAGCCTAAAATGACGTCACACACTACTAAACTTCCGGTTAAAGTGACATTTCATTGTATCGTTTGACGTTTTAACGACAGTCTTGTGACGTCACATACCAGTGAAACGCTTATTGACCAGAGAGACGTTTTGGCGGCAACTTGAAAATGGATTTTTTGATTTAGTTATTATTACTGGAAAACATGATAGAATGATGAATGAGAATGATAAACATGAGTAAATAACGAGAGATAGTTTTCTAAAACTTGTCAAACACCCTATTGACAAACAGAACTTAAATTTATTTCTATAGAACCGGGAGAGAGTGGTAAAAGCACAGCCCAAGAGCTGTGTTCGTTAGCCGAGAAACTTGCGATGGCTATCGCACTAAGACGCCTTCAAGACGGCAGCGATGCACAGCTGATTACCGCCGCTATACAACAGGTGAGAACAATAAAAAAAACGAGCGCGCCTTACAGTAGTCGCGTATGATGTGTAACATTTGAAACTTCACCTTATATTAGTTAAAAAAAGAAATAAAACCTTCTACAAAAGGAATAAGCCATTTGGACATTATGTTCTAAAATTAAATCAAATAGCGCGCGCTTCCCAAACTTCCTGTTACACACTTCCGTCCCACTTAACGTAATCACTCTGAAATTACACGACAGAGAGAGGAAAGATGTTACAAATCAAAAACTTAATTGAAATATGTTAATATAATTTCACAGCTCTATTTAATTAATTTAGAGATATCAGAACCATTTGTAGAAAGGTAACATTCCTTAACGCAGTTTGGTAACTTTATGTTAAGTAATATTTGAAATTTTTACACTTTGACGTTTGATTAAATTCAATATTAACAGCTAGTACTGTGGTGCTCTATCCTGAAGGGATAGATGGGCCTGGGGGCGTAGCTTTGCTACGGTTACAAATGTTAATCACCAAATAATTCACTTATTTTTATTCTTTAATTGGGAGCGAATTACATGCAATCCGTACTATCAACTACTCGCTTTTGTGCCTAAATTCTATCTGCTGGAATCTTCGATAAGAGACAAAAGATTCCAATATTCAAATCTTTAAAATTATGATATTTACTTTTTAATATAACTGCCAGCCGTAGGCATTACATAAGCAAAGAGTTTAAATAATACGGATGTTTCGCATCGAAATAAAAGTATGTGTCTATTAGGTTTGGATAAAATAAACATGTTCAGGTCGTATGCGGCGATAACAACGAAGTGGAAGAAGAGCCGGAAGTGGAAGAAGCTCTATCGTCCGGTGCTCTGTCTCCCTCTGACGTATGCTACAGACGCGTGACGAAGATAACGCGCGTAATTCGCGCCATTGCCGCCAGTGCACATTCGCATTCGCACCACGACGCGAGATCGGCCGCTTTGCATGCCGCCGCTGCTATCAACATTGTTAATGTGAGTTAATAAATAAATATTTTCCGACACTCACACCAATTAGCCTAGCCCCAAAGTAAGCATTGTAAGGTTGTGTTATGGGATAGTAGGGTAGATAGAATACATATGCAGTACATGTTTAAGTATATTTATATAGAAATACATAATAAACGTCCATGACTGGAGTACAAATGCTCGTATTCATCACACAAACATCTGTCCCCACCGGAATTTGAACCCAAGACCTCTTGAGTCGGCGACACCATGAAACCCAGCGTACAAACCACTCGGCCACGGAGGTCGTCAAAGTGAGTTTGTTTGATATCATTATCATCAGCCTATTAATGTATCCACTGCAATGGCACAGGCATTCCTACCGTGGCCGTGACCCACGCGGGCCCTGTGTATATTGGTTGGTGCTAACGACCGCAGATGCAGCCGGGACCAACGGCCGAAGTGCCTTCCGAAGCGTGGAGGAACTCGTGATAGTAAATTTTTGGTCACCCATCCAATGACCGACCACTGCAAAAGTTGCTTAACTTCAACAACTACTTGCGCCATTGAGGTCCTCGATCATTTTAATACAATGTTTAAGCATGGAAATTGTGAACAGTGGGAAACACTATTACATTACTATAACTTTAGTGACCATGAAAGCTTAAAAAAAACTTTTATATTACATCTCACAAAGAAGAGAAGACGCCTTTCCGGGCTTAAAAACCTTAGATGGTTTAGGGTGAATATCGGATTTCCGGGCGATAGTCTTGAAATAAAAAATAGCGAAGTCATAATCCCAGTCTTTTTTTATTTACATCACGATATTATTTGTATAATCCCAGGCAAACTTCTTGAGCAACGACCATAGACAAGGAAGCCTGTGCTGCAGCAATTTTACATACAAAATTGTCTACTGCACAAGTTTATTTATCTGTGGTTTTACTCAAAAAGTTAGTCGCTACCGATAACTGTTTATGTTATCGAATTAATGGAGATAGGGCCTAAATTTATCCCAAAAGTAATACCCTTACCTTGATACATATTTATTTTAAGGTCGCAATTTTTTGTTAGGATGTCATGATGTCTGTTTTGTATACATGTCATCTTATTGTACCATATTTTTTGCAATAAAGAAATCTAATCTAATCTCACACCCATTTTCTTTTACACTTTCCAACAGAGAATCTTAGTGTAGGGCCCAATACATTAGAAATAATATGAAATACGAACTGAGCTAAGTGGTTCAACGCAAATTGCGCCGATCATGGGATTGTTTGGGATTTTCGTTTAACATTATCTTACCCAATGTATGAATAGACGAATTCATATGCAGCTATTTAATTTGTTTATAGTATTTTGTTTGGTCGGTGTGCGTATCGCTTTAGTATTGAAGTTTATTTTGGAACCATGTTTTCGGGGTTTTAGTTAGAGAGTAATGCTTCCAAATCTTTTCTGATTCGCTGGTAGGGCTCCATTTGACTAAAGTAAAAAGTTTATTCTTTGGCGGACATTAATGGAGTGGCGATGTTGATGATATATTTATGTCTCTGCCCAGAATGTATTGGGAGAGGCTCACAAAGCGCGTGCGCAATGGTCAGAAGGGCCTTCCGCTGGTTTGCCTCGCGAATTGATGCCGCCCATTGTGCAACTCGTGCGTCGTGCGCTCACGTAAGTTTATAATTAATCGTTATGATTTCATCGAACCCTTCCCCGACCTTTTTGCAGTTGTGCGTCGTCGTCGTCATACACCCCCAACAGATAAATGCCTATGCTTCTCTGTCTATGGTACTACTAATATGGTACTACTAGGTACTATTAGGCATTTATCTGGTAAATTATACTATATGGTACTACTAATACATTCATACTACAGTGCGACAAGAATCTTTATGAATATAAGTGACATGAATTGTCACTTGGGATTGGGAGATCGTCTAATCAATTATTCTTTCACCTTCATGAAGATCCTTGTCGCACTATAATTTTGATTAAGAACCTGCACTGCGTTAATCGGGTTTTTGATTCATGTTATTTCTTGTAACAGCGCTGCGTGAGACAGGCCTCCCGCGCAGCGGGTCTCTATACAATTATATAAAAACTGCACGCGGAACGGAAGTGCGCTCTGTGCTCACGCTTAAGGCAGTGCAGGCTCTTAAGCTTATCTGTCCATTCTCTTTCTCTGGCAACGAATTAGAAACAATATGGTATACAAACTGCGCTAAAAAGTAGTTTCACTAAAAATGGGATCAAGCGGTGCGAAAAAACTATGATCAATACGCCGATCAAGGAATTGGTTGAGATTTCCGTTTAATATTATGAATAACTTGCCCATTGAATGGACAGCCGAATTCATTTGTGGATATTTGATATGTCGAAGTATTTAGTTTTGTCTGTGTGCATGTCGCGTTAGTATTGAAGTTTAGTGGTATGAGATAAGAACCAGGCTTTAGAACCTTTGTTAGAGAGTAATGCTTCCATATCATTACTATTTCGTTGGTTTCTGGAAAAAAACGTATTTAAAGTTGTTTTGATTAATATGGTATTTTGATAGGCAATCGGCCCACAACTGCCCAGACGCCACTGCTCGCTGGCAGGTAGTGGAAGCGGCTGCTTCGCTCGCTGACCGAGCGCTCTCCGATCGCTCGCCTGCACCGCACGCTTTACGAAGGGACCTAATACAGCCGTTTGGTTAGTGAAAATATCAAACTGACTATTAAATCGAAAATGGAACTAAAAAGTTAAAAATAATATCTGGTTCATGATTTGGAAGTCGGGCGGGTCCAGATTGAAAGACGTATTATTACCGATCAGAAATGAAAATCTAATGTTTCAATCTTGACCCCGCCCGACTTCCAAATCATGAACCAGATATTATTATTAACTTTTTAGTTCCACTATCGATTTTGAAGTCTGTTTTATTTTTTGTATATTTTTTTTTATTTCCTCCATATTAGTGAAAATTACATCGTCCAAGTAAACAATAACACAATTGACGGAGAAATCTGTGACCATGCATAATAAACATCGTGCATGCCTCTGAAATTTGAAGGTTTCCCTCGATTTCCCTGGATTCAACCATCAGCTCCTGACTTGGTTCCAATTTGACCACCCTGGAAGTGCACTCTTTCGAATAAAAAAATAGTATTGGAAATCGGTCCACAATTAACGGAGAAATCGGTGAACATACATAAAAAAAAATATATACAGTCGAACATATAACCTCCTCCTTTTTTAAGTCGGTTAAAATAGGCTATACTTAGACTATATTTAATTTTGTTCATATGAAACTGTGACAACGGAACTGGTATTTATTAATGGAACCTTCAGCATATTATTCTTCCTAAAGCACTAGAATATAGAATCATTCGTTGCCCTTTCAGGATCCATCTCAGTCCCACAAATTAAATTTTTATTTATTTACACTTGTTCAATAATCTTCTAGATGTAAACTTAAGTATCAAATTGATATGGTGCACTATAGTGAACATCGTCGCGTCAATGTCTCGCACTTGTGACTCGTTCAGACTTGCAGCCGTATTTACCTAAACTGCAGCGGCGGAATTTTGTGAAAGAGCGTTTAAGACACAGGCCTTTCCTACGAATGAGATAGAAAGATTGGGCCATAACTCATCACGCAGGCTTAATTCGGGTTGGTGGGTGGTAAAGAAACAGCACCAGTTTGAACCTAATTTAAATAGATAATGGAGAACTCTTGTGTACGCCAGTTCACTTCCTTTGAAAATATCCTTAAAAGGGATTTTTGTTTAACTTTAAAGTGTGAATGCACCACAGAGCTGGTTTAAGTTAAATTTTACTGTAACTTTAACTGGTCACGCTTGGACTTATCTAACCGGTTATTTTATCTGATCGGTTAAATTTAAAGTAAGTTGGTGCAACTCATGCTTAGTATTCTGAGCCAATATCCTAATTTTATTCTTCTGCATATTTCCTTCTCTATGTTTTCACATTTGTAAAGAAGATTTATTTGGCTTTTAGTGGATGAAGGTTTGATAGAACGCGCCGCTGTATTAGCTGAGAAGTTTAAAGACTACGAGATGCTGATTGAAATGTGCATCAACAACAATGATCTTGAAAGACTATACTCCTATATTGAAAAATATTCTAATGAGGTAAGCATCAAAGTCAACATAATAGCCTGCGCAGACTATAGGGACTTTTGTCCGCCGAAATAGATCGCTTACAACATCGTCGAGTAACGCACACAACGTAAGTACCGCGTACAAAAAGTCTCCCGAACAACCGAGGACACCGAACGACAGGACAAAAGTACGCGGGAGACCTCACGCGTACTTTTGAATAAAAATGTATTATCTTTTAAAACGTCTTCCATTACTCTTAAACTTCATGTAAATTACAACACAAAGTAATTTTCGGCCGACAAATGTTCGTTAATCGTGTGCGCTGAGTCCGTGACAAGTCCTCGGCGGACATTTTCTACACGCGCACAAAAGTCCCTCGTCTGCGCAGGCTTATATTATTTGTTATTATTGTACTATTTAGTTTTTAAGAATAAACTTTGAAGCCATAGTAGCTTTCAAACTTCATATCAGCTGTGAAGTTAGCAGCGAGCGCAACTGTTTTGTTACAGTTCAGTGATATTTCACATCATCTTACATTTCGTTTACTGCGACGAGACTTGTTCTCACGTTTCAACCTACATTAAGTTTGAATCGTTCTTTTTGTATACTATTTTCTGTAAAAATCCAATGTGTCATGCCAACAGTAGGCACCGTTCCTGAAACAACAGATTATTCCACTTATGTCATGATATTAGTTCTCAACACACTCTTAACTCCAGCCACCAACAGCTTAACTTGCCGGCCTAAACAAGTCAATCCTTCTGTATAATGTTCTGTGTGATGCTGCTCACCGATAATATCACTGTAGTCAGACGATGCACAGTATGTTGAGAGATTGTAATGTGACAGCGTCGCGTACAGGGCGTGGCGTAGTAATCGTTCGAGTCCCGCAGCTGTTGCACTGCACGCGGCCCGGGTGGCGGCCAGGCTGCACACGTGGCTGCGAGCGGATAATATCACTAGTCAAACGCTCCACAGTGTATTGAGAGCGTGTAATGTGACGGTGTCAGGTACAGGGCGTGGCGGAGTTATCGTTCGCCCGCATAGTGAAGCGCGGGGGCGCGTTAGTCCCGCAGCTGTTGTGCTGCACGCCCCTCGGGGTGGCGGCCAGGCTGCACACGTGGCTGCGAGCGGATAATATCACTAGTCAAACGCTCCACAGTGTATTGAGAGAGTGTAATGTGACGGTGTCGGGTACAGGGCGTGGCGGAGTTATCGTTCGCCCGCATAGTGGAGCGCGGGGGTGCGTTAGTCCCGCAGCTGTTGCGCTGCACGCGGCCCGGGGTGGCGCCGAGGTTGCACGCGTGGCTGCGAGCGGTGCCGGGGCGCGCATCTCTATTGGCGTTGCATCGGATGGCGGCGGGCGATGCTGCTGCCGCGGCGCCGGCTTTGGCTCAACTGGCGGCGACCGAGACCGACTCCGTGGGTAGAATGACGGTGAGTTGATTTTAAATTCGATCCTTGGAAATGTTAAGAATTTAAATTGATTTAACTAAGTTTTTAAATTTATTTTAAAAAGTGAAAATATTTTCGAGTAAATTTTCGAATAAAATCATAAATTATTCTACGAAATAATAATGTTTTTTCAAATTATATATTCAGCAAAAGCATTTATATTCAACTCATATATTCTGTATCAAATAATAGAAAAAAGAGATTTATTTAGTTTTTCCCAAGTCTCTAGCAGCTATGGTTTTACAAACCGACGATGGATGGATGGATGGATAGGTTTAAGACTCCATTAAGGCCCACTTGCAACAATGTTATGCTACATCTCAATTTAACCAAAAATAGATTTAGTCCATACAACAATGTCAGATTGGCATGATCGTTTTGATTTTTTTCTATGAATTTATTCTAGTTTTAGTTGAATCGTGATTTTGCAAATTTGCTGCAAGTGGACCTCAATGTATAATAAGAACCAAGACTGAAATAATATAAAGTTTAAATTCTTGTCGTAGACAATGGCATCACTTGCCAAACTATGTCTTCTGGCGTCAGACGAGCCGGAATCTCAGACTTCTGATCTGCGTCGTAAGATCGAGTCTAGTTTGTCACTAGCGGAGCAACATACTGCTTTGCCGCGCGACATTCGTGTACATAACGGACTAGACGCTGAAGACACGAAAGTTATGCAGCCAGAAGAACTTATCCAGGTAATTATATATGACTAGCAGCCGCCTGCGACTTCGTTTGCGTTAACTTTAGGTTTTTTCAATATCCCTCAGGAACCTTTTCATTATAGAAAGTACCTTATGTCTCAATCCAGGTAATAAATATGTGTGCCTAAACAAACATACAAACTTTCACAGTGATAATATTATTAGTTCGCTGCGTCATTGATTGCATTTAGGAGGGCTTTGCTATCGAGCATTGATTGTGGCACTTGATTATAGTTTTATGTATGTTTTTTTTTATACCTAGTTTAGTTTTATATCATTAATTTTGACAGAAATAAGAGTTGTGTATGCCTGTAACTGTTTTTGCACAACTTTATGTATAACGTATGTTTTTTTTAATTATGTTGGGTGTAAAAATGTTGGCATGCCTGATAAATAAATAAATAAATAATTTAGTAGGGTGATTGAATTTAGCGTAAGTTGCACCATCTTTAACTGTAACTATTTAGTTAAAGTACCGGTTTGGAAAAAAAAGGGTTGGCGCATTTGACGTTAGTCAAAATGAGGTCATACTTTTGACATTGGCAATAATTGTCCGAGCGAGGCCTGTTCAAGTTATAGTAATTTTATTTCTTAACTTTACCGAGCTCTGTAGTGCTACTCACACTTTGTTTTCTGAACTCCTGTTTTGTCTATCAAAATTTCGTAAGCGTGAATCAGAAATTATTGACGTTACAGATCTATTGCTAATTAATTTTCTTCATACAGTTATGTATATTTTAGAATATTTTTAAATTTTAATAAACAAATTGTTAAGCACTTTTCTTTTTAAGTACTGAACCTTTGTTATGGTTCAATTACACTTGGTCGCTAGCCCGTATTCCGGCACCCGAAACAAAATTTACACTGAAATACGGGCTGGAGACAGTGTCGCGTAACCAAAACGAAAACTATCAGAATACGTACTCGACTCCGTTCATTTTCACTTAGTCGTTTACCCGAATTCCATAGGCACTCGTATTCAGGCTAACGACCATGTGTAATCGCGCCATTAATCTTTGATACAACCTAGATAACTTGATGTTTCTTGATAAAGGGAGAAAACCCTGCTACTATTACGATCCATTTAGTTCTCAGACTGTTTATTTTGATCTGTTTAAAGTCTGATTGCTTGGTGATAATATTTCATGAACAAGAATGCATAACATCTATATATTTTTTCGTAGATGTATATTGAATCGGAGAGCAAAAACCTTACGGAGTACGACATGAAAAAAGCCCTGGACCTCACCGACTATGTTCGAGATATGGAGCAGCGAGATGATCTACGACTTAGGGTCAGTTATTTTTTTTTATGCTTCAGTAGCTTATAATATTCTGACTTAGATTTAAGTAAATTTAAATTTTTCTGATATATTTGAACAATTTTACTTCTTCAGTCTTCGATAAATTGTCTTAAGATGATTGACCAAAAATTTATCGTCTCGAGCTCTTCTCCCTATATTTGCACCTACCAATGACAGATTGGTATGATGGATTATGGCCAGTACTACCATATTCCATCCATAGGGAAGGCCTGTGCCCCAGCAATGGGGACATTTATATTATCTGCCTATATATAACATCGAAATTATAATTTACCTATTTCTTCGTCTTGCCTCAAAAGCGTTATCATCATCAGCCTATTAATTTTCTCACTGCTGGGGCACAGGCCTTCCCTATGGATGGAATAGGGAGATTGGGCCATGACCCACCACGCGGGCCCAGTGCGGATTGGCGGGTGCTAACGACTGCAGATGCAGCCAGGACCATCCACTTAATATGCCTTCCGAAGCACGGAGGAAATCGAGATCGTAAATTTTTGGTCACCCATCAAATGACCGACCACTGCGAAAGTTGCTTAAGTTCAGGATCTCAGCAGAACGTGTTAATCACCTACGCGATCGAGCACCTCTAAAGCGTTACACAAAATATTGAAATAAAATTGACATTGTCCAGGTATGGTGCTCGTGTATACGGCGCGACGATTGGTCTTCTTGTTGCGTGGACGAACCGGATGCGGCCCTACGAGAAAAAATGTTCTTCCGTCTCATAGAACTTGTTCACATAATGGGTAAGTTATATAGAGAACACCATGTTTTATGTCGATTATGGGTAGATAAAAATGCGTTATGTCCAAGAGAACATTCAAAAAAATTTTAAAATTGCAATAAAGACAGCGCAGTCCTGGTATATTGTACTTTTTATAATGAAAAGCTGAAAAAACAACGTAACGCGTGCGTGCACCATTTTTTATTTTTATTTAATTATTTTACAATATGTCTCTTAACTAGGTTATTCTTATTTAAATTTCAATGTGTTTAATAATATACTATCCGTCCTCGAGGCTGCCACTTGATACAGCCAGGGGCGCGGGCAGAAGTCGGAAGGAGAAAGCATAGAAGGATAGTAAAGATAAAAGAAGATAATTATACAGGAAATAGTTATTGATTACTTTTGTATTGTTATAGTTTGTTACTTCTACACTAGTGATGTAACGAATATTCGCATTCGCGAATATTCGCATATTTTTGAATATTCGCATTCACATTCGCATTCACAAAATCTCTGCGAATGTTTTGCGAATATGAATTTAGAAAAAAACAATTTGAAGAAGTTGTAGTTCTGCCTTTCCTTGAATATTCATTGTTACACAGTTTGCATTTAGCTCGTTCAGCATCGCAAAGTGTGAAATAAGTCCATGTTTCACTAGAATTCGATTTACTCATGTTAATAAATCACTATTACCACTCACAATCACTAACCTCAAAATTCACTTGTTTTGTTTACGGAAAGACCGGTGCGAGCGGAATGACACTTCAGTCGGATGAGTTCATATCAACTCGGCAATTCGAACGAGACTGCCACCATGCCATAGACAATTGGCGCCAATTTAAAAAAAACTAAATATTCGCATTCGCGAATGTCGGTACCAGACATTCGCATCCGCATTCGCATTCGCGAATGTTCAAAAAATGACATTCGTTACATCACTATTCTACACGTCTAAACGGCTGGAGCGATTTTAATAAAAGGTCATTGGGCAGCTTAGTATGGAAATCATACCCATGGCGGACACAAACGAAATACAGCTGAGTGTATTGATATATGGCTCTGATTTACTATGGCATTAGTCACAGTAATGTGAGCCACGGGAATCTCGAAAAATTCAAGTAAAAATAAATTGATTTAAGGAAGATGAATAAAATGTTAATTCGTTAGAATATTTTTTATTCAATTTGATCCAAATCAAGCATAAGATAAGAAATATCCCTAATAAACCGCGGGTAACGCCGCGGGGCACAGCTAGTGTGAGATATATCTGAACATTTCTTTTGATTGCACACAGGTGGTGACTTAGAACTGCTTTTACCGCCGGCCGAGGACATTCTAACAGCGCGGGAACTCGCAGAACTTGGTTCCGATTCTCGATTCCATTTCCTCATCAAATACGGCTACCAATGTATGCACCAAGCCGCGATGGTGGAATAAATCTTTACATCTACGTTATATTATTAGAGGTTGGAGAAAAAGTTTCTTCGCATTTAATATGTAAATTCAAAACATTTTGTTAATAAAGTTTATTTACATTTAACTAAAGTATGTACGTGCCATTTTGTTTGATAACTTTTTGCCAGCTTGTAGGTAGGGACATGATCCCATTGCTATAGAAATTTTGGGGCTTCTGATCAAAAAACCATAAAAGTGGTTTTGGCAGTCCTCTTGTGATGTTAACCTGACACTGCCCTAAGAATTCTGAAGAGACATAAATAGGTAGAAATCTGAAGGTGCAAGGTCAGGACAATACGGCGGGTGCATTATAATCTCCCAGTCAAACTCTTAATTTTGGTGAGTGGCTAAAGATGTGTGTGTGATCTAGTGTTATCATGATGAAAAACCACACCCCTTCTGTTGATTAATTGCGGCCTCTTTCTCTCAACTTCTTGCTTTAATATCATCAGTTGTTCGGTAGTAGAGTTCGGAATCGATGGTCCTGCCTGGCGGTAACATCACAATGAATAATGCCCTTCCAATCCCACCATACACACAGCATCACCTTGTTGCGAGTTAATCCGGGATTCGTAAGAGTTTGGGAAGCCTGATCGGCCTTTGCCTACGACCATTTTCGCACGTTCTTTTCGTACGTGATCCACTTTTCATCGCCAGTTATCAGCTTCTTCAAAAATGGTTCTGTTTCATTACGTCGTAATAAAGAATCACAAATGAGTACACGGTCCATCAGGTTTCTTTCAGTGAGCTCGTGAGGCACCCAAATATCGAGCTTTTTGTTTACCCAGGCTTTTTCAAATGCTCTAAAACTGTTTTTTGTTCAATTCCCAGTTCTTCAGCTACGTCGTAACTACTGAGATGCCGATCCTGCTCCACTTTTTCAAAAATGACATCCATTTTATCCGTAACAGGGCGACTAGAGCGACGTGCATCTTTGACATCAAAATTTCCGGATTGAAAACGCTTAAACCCAATTTGTGCTACTCTTAACACTGCACTAGATCCATAAACATCACAATTTTTTTTCGCGGCTTGCCTGTAGTAAAATTCTCAAAATGTATCGAATTTCTTCATTAGATTCACTCATCTTGACAGTAAAAAAAAACAAATGAAAATCACACATTTTTCTAATTTTAATTTGGTAATATCTTTAAAATTTTAACTTTTTAATGATACCAAAATCAGCTAGATACATATGGTATCGGCAAAGAGATTTTATTAAACGTTCATACATTATAATGCGAAGACTTTACTCAACCTATTATAATAAAGCAACAGAGTTTTGGCGGTAATTCAACTTCAAGGAGTGAGTTTGTCATCATATTCTCCGTATTGGTATATTTTTTCTAGAGAATATTTTAATGTTAAAATAGTATTTAATCGGGCTCAAATGAAAAATGTGTGTCGATATTGACCAGACTTTGTAAGTGGAACTGAAACTTTAAATGTACTAACTATTTTTTATATGATGCAAGTAAGAGCTCTAATATGAAATTAAGGGTAAATTATCATTTTAGTCGCTGAGCTGTTTTATTTCAAAACTCACAAGACCGCATGATATTATCAGTATTTTTTCAAATAAGGTTAGAACTTTTTACACATTTTTAAGCCAACTTAAATTCAGCTACTTTGCGGAAAACTAATTTATCAAAAGATAAATTAAGTTTAGCTTTAATTATGATCATATATATGTTTTGACTGCAAAAAATGAGAATCTGCTTGGTAATACATTTCAATAGATTTTTTTAAATATTTCACCATTAATGAGCGTCTCTCATAATATAATAAATCAGTTGGCTTTTCTATCGAAATGCTATATTTACAATAAACTCTGTGTAGATATGACCCCTTTTAGTATTCATACAAAATGAACTATCTATTTCATGCACCAGCTCTATTCTATTCATAAAGAAGGCCTGTACCCAGCAGTGGTGGCATCTATAGATTAATGATGATGATGATTTGTTTGTCGTACGAACCGGATTAGTACGAACTTATACAATTCTCTTTACCCACTCATAGACGTCCGTAAATTTTAAGTTTAAGTTGTATTGTCACCTTCGGTCTACTAACGTTCAACAAGAGAATAAGGCCGTTTTTCTACCGCGGCCGTCAACAAGAACGTTATGATGGCGCAGAAGAAGCGACGCCTACATTTACTATAGTCGCTTCTTCACCGCAAGCCCGTCACGTCATTTTTAACCTACTTCAAAAAAAGGTGGAGGTTCTGTGTTCTGCTGTATATTTTTTTGTTTATTGTTTACTTGAACGATGTAGTTTTCACTAAAATGGATGTAATATTTTTTTTAAACAAAAAGTAAAACCGACATTATAATCGAAATTGGAACTATAATGCGGTTCAAATAAGAATAGGAAATCCAATGACCTCTATCTGTCAAATGTTGCTTGAAAAGTACGGTTTGCTAAAAAATCCTTGAACCCTTTTTTAGCACTCTCCTAATTCTAGAATAAAAACCAAACATTTGTACACAAACAATAACAAATATTATAATATAATTAATGTCGGTTGATATTTTTTTCACCTATTGAGCTTTGGCCATGAATGCTTGATAACCTAAATCGTCAACCAAATGTCACTTTAAGCTGTGTTCAGAAACTCGATTTCAAACTTTCGTTTACATAAAGGATGCATGTTCGTACGTGACCTAGTAAAAGTGCATAATTATACATAACTACTCCGGCGGTAATGCAGAGATGAGCGGAATAAAAGAGCTAGATTCTGATTAATGTTTTTTCTCACAGTCTTAATAAATAAATATTATTAAAAATTGGTGTTTTTTTTCTCAATCTTAGTAAATAAATGATATTAAAAAATCTGATGCTTTTTCGTACATAATCTTAGTATATGTTTCATTAAATAAAAACTTTTTTTTGCTCACTCTACCTATTTGGTTTGAATTGACAGCTATGACATCACAATATGGCACCCAGTCGGTCCTATTCTTAGTTGAATCGCATATTAAAAAGTAAAAAATAATATCTGGTTCATGATTTAGAAGTCGGGCGGGGTATAGATTGAAACATTAAATAGATTTTAGTTTCTGATCGGTAATAATACGTCTTTCAATCTTGACCCGCCTGACTTCCAAATCATGAACCAGATATTATTTTTTACTTTTTAGTTCCATTTTCGATTTTGAAGTCGGTTTTATTTTAATCCCGTACAGAAATAATCTTGTTCTCGATGACGGCCGCGGTGGACAAACTGCCTAAGACAGGGTAGGCAAAGCCGCAAGTGGTTTTGGAGTCGCGATCGTCTAATTGGCTAAGGCCAGAGGCCAAAACTATTCACCACCCTTTTAACATAAAAAACACGACTTTGACAAACATAAATCTATGGGACGTCTCTTCGGGCGGAAGTTAGTGTACGTTAGATTAAGTTAGGTGATAAACGCGGTAATACCATGAATTTGGGTTATCACCCCGAGCTAATGTGGAAGTTAGCTTAAGGACACTCGACAGCACAAAATTGATTATACTTTATTTACCGTCGATCAGGTTTCCATCCTTTGCTATTTATATAAATAATATGGAAAGAAATCATTATATCTATACGACTGGGCATTTTTTCCAAAAATAATAAAGCAAATGGCCATAACCTTAAACAGCTGAGCAGTAAATGACACACCATAAAACCTTTTAGAATAAAAATTTTAACACCTGCGATCCTTTCCAAGCCAGCAAAACAGAAAAGAAAATTGTAGTAGTAAATATTAATTGTATTCTGGAAGTCATTTCTATGTAGCGACATAGAAATGACTTCCAGAATACAATTAATATTTACTACTACAATTTTCTTTTCTGTTGTTGCCTCCCAGGCGGAGGTGCGGATATGAAATCCTCATGGATATCCATGCCGGCTGTAAGGTTATGTCAGACTCATACCCCCTTAGTAATAAATTAAGAATAAGCTTTGATTAGTTACTCCATATTTTGTTTCTGTTCATTGAATGACAAATGGCGTTTGAGTGATATGAATAAAACACGGCGTAACTAATGTAAGCTTATTCCTCGTTTATTAATAAGGGGGCGTCCATAAATTACGTGAAATGTTTAAGGGGGGAGGGGGTCGAGTCAAATCTCATCTAATCTTACGTTCGACGAGACGGGGGTCTGGGCAAATATCACGCAATTTTTTTTTGATTGAAAGAAAAAAAACTATTTTGGTCCATTTAATCCAGATTGTACATGCTTAAGATTTAATTTAAACGATTTAAGTGTTCTATTGTTAAATTTTTATTACACTTAGAACTCTAAGCAATATTGATTACTAGTCTTAACTAGTCGTAAATAAAAGCACGAAGCTAGATTTTTTAACAATAATAATCCTACGCGTTTACGTAAGAAACACATATTTTTAAAAATCTCACGTGTGATAAGGGGATGGGAGAGGGGTTTGAATAAAATCTCAGGACATCTCACCAGGAGGGGAGTGAGGGACAGAAAATTCAAAAAAACACCTCACGTAATTTATGGACGCCCCCTAACTAGGTTATTGACTAAAACACCCATAGGGGGGACGCCTATGGCCATAAGGGCATTACATCATCTGATGCCGTCATTAATACAGTTTTCGCTTTCAAATGTCGAGTGCTTTTATGAGTAACAAATACAGAGGCGAAATATTAAAAATAACTCACCATTCGATGATTTCGGTCAGACTGAACTAGGCTAAGTTACATAAGTTAGGGTATAAATAACGAATAAATAAAAATGTTTTTTAAGTGGATCGCTTCTTACTATAATGTTGAAATGTGTAAAAGATGAAGTATGAGAGACATAAAAGGGACGGCGGGACTATGAATCTAAGAACTATAATGTCATTACAGTTGATTTCTTTGTACCTTCTATAATAGAGGTTAGAATGTCGCGTTTCGAATATTTTTAAGCTATTTTTTTGGTATGTTGTTAATGTATTAATTAAATATGACAACCATATTTAAGTCATAAAATATTAAGAAACTGTAATCATTACTTTAATTTGAATTCAATTCACCAAAAATACGATAATGTTTATGATTGTTGTTTTATCACTGTTTATTTCTACGTAGTAGTCAAAAAACCTTGAAAATAACTGTCTAATAAAAGTTGTTTATGTATTTTTGTTTTTAATGGTAGTTTTGGCTGTTAACCCCCCACAACTGTTTAAAAAAATTGTGCATCTATATTCCTTAATAAAATAAAAGTGAGATCATAGAAATTGTTTTTTGTTTTAAAGTAGATAAGAACACATTATTAGTAAAAAGAGGAGCTCGATGGCGCAGGTGGTTAGCGCGTTTGGCTGTGATCGTAGAAGCTAAGCAACTTTCGCAGTGGTTGGTCATTGGACGGGTGACCAAAAATCTTCTATCTCGAGTTTCTCCATGCTTCGGAAGGCACGTTAAGCCGTTGGTCTCGGTTGCATCTGCAGTCGTTAGTACCCGCCAATCCGCACTGGGCCCGCGTGGTGGGTGGGATGGCCCAATCTCCCTATTCCATCCATAGGGTAGGCCTGTGCCCCAGCAATGGGGACATTAATAGGCTGATGATGAATTAGTTAAAATTATATAATAAATAATAACCATTTTTTATTATCTAAACATTTTGCCTTTCCCGTTATCTCATTCAGTTAGTTAAAAAAACAAGTGTACACGTAAACAAACGGTCCCGAATCTTGTTATTTTTAGGCAGAACAAAAACATACAAAATGTTTGTTGTTGTGATTAAATTCAGTTAAGTAAATTAATTTATTTTAAGTTATTTTTGACAATCCATTTGTCATGTAGTAATTTAACCCTAAGATGTCAAGGTGTTTTTATTTAATAAACAAAACAAACGAAAGGAACTTGTATTTTATTTTTTGCTTATCCCATGTCTTAAACTTCATTCAATGTTATTAAAGGATAAAAATTACTAAAAGTTATACTTCCGATGCGGGCTTAGGCGACATCACTAAGTTTATTTTATTTCGAAGAGATTATTAGATAATTTTTAAAGTCGCCTTATATTCATAATGGAGACTGATTGTTTATGAATTAAAAAAATGTATTTATGAACTAC